GACAGCATCGTGGGGGCAGACGCAGAGTTAGCACAGAGACCCGAGGAGGAGGAGGAGGAGACACAGGCCCAGAGGAACCGAGACCTGCAGAGAGGGACCGAGACAGAGGCTGACAGTGGCACCCACGGGGAGCAGCCGCTGGGGAGAGGAAGGCAGTGGCCAGGAGGATGACAGAGACCCAGAGAGAGGGGGCAACGGAGACACGGACAGAGGGGGGACAGAGACTTTTGCCAGTTCCTCCTCTGCTAGTCCCTCAGTTGCTCTCCTGAGCTCCCCAACCCGAGACCCGGGGTTCCGTGGGGGCCCCCTGACAGGCCTGGCCCGTGCTGGGTGCTCGGGGTGGGGAAGGGTGCGGTGAGTCAGGGAGGTGACTCCAGGGGACACTCAGAGCCTGGAGCGCCCTTCCCCCACCCCAATAAACAACTGCGGCCGCCGCCTGCCTTGCCGCCCTGGCTCTGAGTGATGGGGAAGAGGCGAGGGGAACCCCAGTCCGGGGACACCCTTCCTGCCACCTTGCCATGCTATATTTAGGCCGAGGGAGAGGTATGGGATGCCCCCTCCCCCCCCAGACAAGTGTCAGCTTTCCCCTGAAAACAACTCTGAGGAGGGGTGAGGGCCCGGCCACAGGGCTGTCCTGGACTCCAACGCCCGTCTTCCCCCCGGCTCAGGGGCTCTCTCTCTCTCTGGGCCTCTGTCCCCCCTCTCTCTCTGGGCCTCTGTCCCCCCTCTCTCTGGGCCTCTGTCCCCCCTCTCTCTCTGGGCCTCTGTCCCCCCTCTCTCTCTGGGCCTCTGTCCCCCCTCTCTCTCTGGGCCTCTGTCCCCCCTCTCTCTCTGGGACTCTGTCCCCTTTTCCGTGCCCCCCCCGCCCCCCCACAGTCTCCCTTCACTTTCCTTCTTTCACTAAGGTCATTGTGCCCCCAAACCAAACCTCTCCCCCAGGCCTGTAGCACCTTGAACTTCTCTCCTCTGAGCTCAAGACAAGACCCTCTCCCCAGTTCCCAGCAGGAAATTCCAGGGGAGAGGAGGACTCTGTGGGAGAGCCCCCCACATCCACTGTCCCCCCCTGGCCCGGGCCTTATCGCTGCCCAGGCCCAGCTGGCTAATGTCTGGCCGGGAGCTCCTGGGAGCGTGGGGATGGGAGCAGAGGGTGGGAATCTGCCTGGGGATTGACACTTCGCTGGCTGAAGAATGCGAAGGAATCTCGGGCCCAGACTCCTGGCCTGCGGGAGGGGAGGCTGGGGTCCCCACTCCTGGGTCTGAGGGAGGGGGGGCTGGGGTCCCCACTCCTGGGTCTGAGGGAGGGGGGGCTGGGGTCCCCACTCCTGGGTCTGAGGGAGGAGCAGGGGCTGGGGTCCCCACTCCTGGGTCTGAGGGAGGAGGAGGGGCTGGGGTCCCCACTCCTGGGTCTGAGGGAGGAGGGGCTGGGGTCCCCACTCCTGGGTCTGAGGGAGGAGGGGCTGGGGTCCCCACTCCTGGGTCTGAGGGAGGAGGAGGGGCTGGGGTCCCCACTCCTGGGTCTGCGGGAGGAGGAGGGGCTGGGGTCCCCACTCCTGGGTCTGAGGGAGGAGGGGCTGGGGTCCCCACTCCTGGGTCTGCGGGAGGAGGGGCTGTGGTCCCCACTCCTGGGTCTGCAGGAGGAGGGGCTGGGGTCCCCATTCCTGGGTCTGAGGGAGGAGCAGGGGCTGGGGTCCCCACTCCTGGGTCTGCGGGAGGAGGGGCTGGGGTCCCCACTCCTGGGTCTGCAGGAGGAGGGGCTGGGGTCCCCATTCCTGGGTCTGAGGGAGGAGCAGGGGCTGGGGTCCCCACTCCTGGGTCTGAGGGAGGAGGGGCTGGGGTCCCCACTCCTGGGTCTGTGGGAGGAGGGGCTGTGGTCCCCACTCCTGGGTCTGCAGGAGGAGGGGCTGGGGTCCCCATTCCTGGGTCTGCGGGAGGAGGAGGGGGCTGGGGTCCCCACTCCTGGGTCTGAGGGAGGAGGGGCTGGGGTCCCCACTCCTGGGTCTGCGGGAGGAGGGGCTGGGGTCCCCACTCCTGGGTCTGAGGGAGGAGCAGGGGCTGGGGTCCCCACTCCTGGGTCTGAGGGAGGAGGAGGGGCTGGGGTCCCCACTCCTGGGTCTGCGGGAGGAGGGGCTGTGGTCCCCACTCCTGGGTCTGCGGGAGGAGGGGCTGGGGTCCCACTCCTGGGTCTGCGGGGGGAGGGGCTGGGGTCCCCACTCCTGGGTCTGCGGGAGGAGGGGCTGGGGTCCCCACTCCTGGGTCTGCGGGAGGAGGAGGGGGCTGGGGTCCCCACTCCTGGGTCTGCGGGAGGAGGAGGGGGCTGGCGCCTGGCCTCCTGAGACCCCGGCGGGCGGAGGGCTGAGCTCGCCAGGCTGGGCTCCCGAGGTCCCGCCGCGCGGAAGGCGGGCTCCCCCGGCCCCTCCTCCGCCGTCGGCGCCGCCCCGCCCCCGCCCCCGACCCGGGCCCTCGGAGCCTCGGTGCGCGGCGCGGAGCCGGCGGCGGCGGCGGAGGGGCCGCGCCGGCAGCCGGAGCCCGGGCGCCCAGGTAAGAGCTCCGCGCCTCCTCCGATCCCGCGCCCGGCGCCCTGCCCCCGGGTTGGGAGGGGCGGGGCCGGGGGCGGGGCCTGGCGGAGGAAACTGAGGCAGGAGCAGAGTCCCCGATGAACACCAGGTGACCCCCTCCCCGTGGGGGCACCCCCAGGGGGGTCTCCGGAGTCCGGACCCCCAGCCTGAAGCTTCTGCGGAGAACCTGGGGGGCGGGGCTCGAACCCCAGAACTTCAGGGTCCGGGGAGGAGGGGCTGGGGGCCTGGACCCCTGGGTCCCGGGGGAGGAGGGACTGGGGGCTGGACGGCTGGTCCCGGGCGGTCAGCATGCGCCCCTCTCCCCCCGGCTGCCCCCCCAACCCCACCCCCGGCTCCCCGCAGCCGGGCGGCAGCCGCCCAGGTATGCGCGGCGGGAGGCGCGGGCGGGCCCCGGCCTGTCCCGTGCGCGCGGGGAACATTCCAGGAGCGGCCTGGGGGACCCGGGCTCTGAGTGGGCGCCCCGGTGCCCCGGGGTCCGGCCCGGCCCCGCCCCCAGCCTGCCTGTCTGTCCGGGAGATGGATGGGCCGAGGAGGAGGATGTAATCTTTTCCAGCCTCTGCGGTCCCCTCTCCCCCATCCCCGCCCCCCATCTGCTTCCCATCCCGGCCAGGAGCCGTCACCTTGGCCGGCCAGGGGCCTCTGGAGAGGGGGCGCGGCCTTGGCTGTGGGGTACCCTACACTTTCTTTCCTTTTTTTCTTTTTTTAATATGTTTTATTGATTTTTTACAGAGAGGAAGGGAGAGGGAGAGAAAGTTAGAAATATCGATGAGAGAGAATCATCGATCAGCTGCCTCCTGCACACCCCCCACTGGGGATGTGCCCGCAACCAAGGTACATGCCCTTGACCGGATTCAAACCCGGGACCTCTCAGTTCGCAGGCCGACGCTCTATCCACTGAGCCAAAGCGGTTTTGGAACCCTACACTTTAAAAAAAAAAAAATTCTATATTAATTAAGGTATCACATATTTGTCCTCAACCCCCCTCATTCCAATCCCCCACCCCCACCCCCAAACCCTACCCTTTCAGAGGGGACACCCGGAAGGGGAGGGCCCAGGGGTTCAGCCCCCCCCCCCACCTGCCTGTCTGACATGCCTGTTCCCCTCTCCCTCTAGGTGGTAGCCCGCTTCCCGCTCCTGAGATGTCAGGAAGGAGGGGGCCCCCTGCGTCCCCCACAGGGGCCCCCTGGAGCCTGGGGGCCCCCAGCCCGGGAGCTCGGAGGCGGAGGAGGTGCTGACAGGTCCGGTACCCAGCCTCGTCCTTCCCACCTCCCCCTCCCCCCCCCCCAATCACAGGTCTCCAGGATGATGTGCAGGAAAGGCGTGGCCACAGCTTTGCCGGCCGCTCCCAGCCCCAGATCAGGGTCGCAGGCAGGGAAACTGAGGCCCAAGTGACTTTCTTGCCTTCTTCGTGGAGCTTCGAGCTGAAATTGGATTTCCCCAGGATTCCAGAGCTGGCCTTTCTCAAAGTTTGGGACCTCAAACCTCTTCCAGACTGTAGGAATTAGGGTTCCTGGGGGTTGCAGAGGCAGTATGGCCAAGTAGGTGGTGCTCAGACAGGGTTCTCGTTCCAACTCTGGCATTTGCTGGCTGTGTGACCTGGTCCAAGTTACTAACCGCTCTGAGCCGGTATGTCCCCAATTGTTGGCCGTTATTAGTCACTAAAGGCCCCGTGCACGGATTCATGCATCGGTGGGGTCCCTCGGCTTGGCCTGCGCCCTCTTGCAACCCAGGACCCCTTGGGGATGTGGGAGAGCCAGTTACAGCCTGGTCCCCGCCGACCAGGCCGAGGGACCCCACCAGTGCACGAATTCATGCACCTGGCCTCTAGCATGCATATAAAATCTTTGGTTAATCTCTTCCTTTTTAAAAAAAAAAATATATATATTTTATTGATTTTTCACAGAGAGGAAGAGAGAGGGATAGAAAGTTAAAAACATCAATAAAAGAATCATCAACCAGCTGCCTCTTGCACACCCCCTACTGGGGATGTGCCTGCAACCAAGGCACATGCCCTTAACTGGAATAGAACCCGGGACCTTTCAGTCCACAGGCTGATGCTCTATCCATTGAGCCAAACCAGTTTCAGCTTGGTGAATTGCTCTCTGTCCTCCCCTTCCCCCTTCCCTCTGAGATTCATCAGTCTGTCCCATGTTTCCATGCCTGTGTGTTGACTGTCTGCCCCCTGGTGGTCAGTGCACATCATATCTACTGGTTGAATGATGGAAGGGATGCTTATCTTTATATATATAGATGGATAATAGTAGGATAATCTGGAAGTTGGGCATTATTCAACCCTAGAATATGGGTTCCCCAAGGTTCTAGAACAGGGGCCTCCCTATGGTCCTGAGGCTTGCAGGTCCCCCTGCATGACTCCCCTCTCCTCTAACCCCAGCTCTCTTCCTCGCCCCTCAGGTGCTCTGCGAGATGCTGCCCCACCCTGCACGGTGCCTCCCCGTCCTCCTCCTCCTCTGCCTCCTCCCCAGCGTCGCCGTGGGACCCCACCCCCCGCCCTCGCCGCTGCCCCCGTTTCCAGGCCCCGAGTGGGACCTTCTGTCCCCGCGCGTGGTGCTCTCCCGGGGCGCCCCCGCGGGCCCCCCGCTGCTCTTCCTGCTGGAGACCGGGGCCTTCGGGGAGCCGGCGGGCGGCCCCGCTAACCGCAGCCGGCGAGGCGTGAGCGAGACGGCGCCAGCCAGCCGCCGGGGGGAGCTGGCCGTGTGCGACGCGGTCAGCAGCTGGGTGACGGACCGACGGACGGCCGTGGACCTGCGCGGGCGGGAGGTGGAGGTGCTGGGCGAGGTGCCCGCGGCCGGCGGCAGCCCCCTGCGCCAGTACTTCTTTGAGACCCGCTGCAAGGCCGACAGCGCCGGGGAAGAGGGCCCCGGCGGGGGCGGCGGGGGCTGCCGGGGCGTGGACCGGAGGCACTGGGTGTCCGAGTGCAAGGCCAAGCAGTCCTACGTGCGGGCGCTGACCACGGACGCCCAGGGCCGCGTGGGCTGGCGCTGGATTCGCATCGACACTGCCTGCGTCTGCACGCTCCTCAGCCGGACCGGCCGGGCCTGAGGCCTGCTCGGCGCAGAAAGGACCTGGGCAAGCAGAGGAGAGAAGAGCTGGAGGCCGAGAGGGACCTCAGGGGGACCTGGCTGCTCTGGGCCTCCATTGTGGGAACTTGTGAAGTCGTCACAAAGTCAGCTCAATCGGTACAAGACAGGTGGGGAAAATGGGTGGGGTTTTGAAGGATGAATAGGAGTTCTCCCGTGAACGCCACCGCGGCGGATGATGATGATGACGATGATGATGATAGCCTATATTTTCTGAGTGTCTACTGTTTAAGAGCTCTAATACACAACTTGTCAGATCAACTCTGGTGGATGTGAGCTTCTAAGTTGTTGCCGTATGCTCTCAGAGGACATTACCTTGCTCATTATGGGGAGAGTGAAAAGGGGGAAATATATCAAGATTTCGGGTGGCAGCGCCAAAATCGGTTTGGCTCAGTCGGCAGACTGAAAGGTCCCAGGTTCGATTCTGGTCAAGGGCATGTACATTGGTTGCAGGCACATCCCCGATGGGGGTGTGCAAGAGGCAGCTGGTCGATGTTTCTCTCTCATCGACGTTTCTAGCTCTCTACCCCTCTCTCCTCCTCTCTGTAAAAAATCAATAAAATATATATTTTAAAAATACTTAAAAAAAAAAAAGTGGGTGGCAGAGCATGAAAACTGGAACATGTAAGCAACTAGCTGGGAGCTAGGACTGGAATGGACGGTTTGCTCGGTCAGATGGGGCAAGAAGGCTCTATGTTTTGTTTGTTTTTTGTTAATCCTCACTCGAGGATATTTTCCCCATTCATTTTCAGAGCGAGTGGAGAGGGAGAGACACAGAGAAAACATTGATGTGAGAGAGACACATAGATTGGTCGCCTCCCACATGGGGATTGAGCCTGCCAGTGAGGCATATGCCCCGACCAGAATCGAACCTGGGACCCTTCAGTCCATGGGCCAATGCTCTATCCACTGAGCTAAGCTGGCTAGGGCAAGAATGTTCCGTTTTGACCTACCCATCACAGTCAGAACACAAGCAAGGATGAGTGATAGGAGGTCAGGATGCCAGAGAATTCAGCCCTGGGGGGGGACTTGGCATCAGGTTTCTACCACCTTTCTCTGTCTCAGCTTTTATTCCCACTGAGAAAGGAATAAACTCTAAAACTGTCCAGTTTGAGTAAAGCATGGGGTTCTGACCGTTGGCCTGACCACTGTGGGGGATCAGGGGTCATTTGGACACTGAGAGACCTTTATTCTTTTATTATTTTTTTAAAGTATATTTTATTGATTTTTTACAGAGAGGATGGGAGAGAGATAGAGAGTTAGAAACATCGATGAGAAAGAAACATCGACCAGCTGCCTCTTGCACACCCCCTGCCGGGGATGTGCCCGCAACCAATGTACATGTCCTTGACCCGGGACCCTTGAGTCTACAGTCTGTCCAGTGAGCCACACCGGTTTCGGCACCACACCCTTTAACCACGTTTTAGGGTCAGCTTTTGTCGAAGGACATAGAAACCCTCACCCCTCACCGTCACAGGCTGGGGCCCGGGAAGTGCGGGTGGCAGGGCAGGTAGGGTCTGGCTGACTGGGTGGCTACATCTCTTCTCCGTCTGCACTTCTCCTCTTTCTTGCCACCTCCCTGTCTCTTCTTCTAACTCCCGTCTTTCTCTGCATCAGTAGCTCCCTTTCTGTCTCTGCTTCTTTTTTCTTTTTCTTTTTAAAATATATATTTTATTGATTTTATACAGAGAGAAAGGGAGAGAGATAGAGAGTTAGAAACATCAATGAGAGAGAGTCATCAATCAGCTGCCTCTTGCACACCCCTTACTGGGGATATGCCCGCAACCAAGGTACATGCCCTTGACCGGAATCGAACTCGGGACCTTTCAGTCCCCAAGCCGACGCTCTATCCATTGAGCCAAACTGGTCCTGGCTCTTTTTCTTTTTTAAAAAAATATATTTTATTGATTTTTTTTTAAATGTATTTTATTGATTTTTCACAGAGAGGAAGAGAGAGGGATAGAGAGTTAGAAACATCGATGGGAGAGAATCATCGATCAGCTCCTCTTGCACACTCCCTACTGGAGATGCACCCGCAACCAAGGTACATGCCCTTGACCGGAATCGAACCTGGGACCTTTCAGTCCCCAGGCCGACGCTCTATCCACTGAGCCAAACGGGTCCTGGCTGATTTTTTTTTTTTATAGAGAGGAAGAGAGAGGGTATAGAGAGTCAGAAACATCCATGAGAGAGAAACATCGATCAGTTTCTGGGGATGTGCCCGCAACCAAGGTACATGCCCTTGACTGGAATCAAACCCGGGACCCTTCAGTCCACAGGCTGATGCTCTATCCACTGAGCCAAACCAGATTCGGCTCTGTCTCTGTTTCTTAGTCACCGTCTCTCACTCATTCTTTCGCGTCTTTCTCATTCATCAAAGCCCTTCCTGCACCACTGCCAACACCCTTTTTGGGGAAGTCTTCCTGTGCGGTTCTCTGCGGGTCCCTCCCTCTGCCCCCCCACCCCCCTCCCAGGTGGAAGTTTTCAGCCCAATCAAAGGCAGCGGGACAGATGCTGACTCCGCGCACACACACAGGGAAGGAGGGACAGCCGGCATCAATTCCCCTTCCCCTCCCCCGCACCAGGCCTGGCTGAGGGCGCAGGCAGTAGGAATGGGGTGTTTCCCATGGATTTCCTGATGTGCTGGGTAGTCTATCCTCCTCCCCTACAGAGTCTCTGTCACCCCTTTCCGGAATCTCTGACCCCCCTACCTCAGGTTTCTGCCCTCCTCTCTGCTGTCCCCTCTGCGAGTTTCTGTCTCCCCCTGCCCAGGGGTCTCAGTCTCTAAAACTCTAACAACTGCACTTCTACCTTCCCTTCCCCGGGGCCCCATGTCTGCCCTCCTGTCTGTCTGGGTCTCCTCCCATGCCCCCACCTTCTCTGAGGTTCTGTGCCCCTCTTGGGGCCTCTGCCCCGCTCTGTCCACCCACGCCCCTCTGTGCCTAGACCCCTTCTTCCCGCTCCCCATCCCCAGCCCGCAGGCCCCCCATTGGCTGGACTCAGCGAGGGAGGGTTCTGTCCCTATGGCAACAGCCACAACAAGCCTCCGGCCGGGGCGCAGGGCGCGGGAGGAGGGATCATGGCCGGTCAGCTCCTAGCTCTGCGCTATGGCCCGCTCTGGCCCCCCATCTCTGGGACCGAGGACCCAGGGTCCTGGCCCGACTGGCATCTCACCAGCAGCGGCGTCGCCCACCACATCATCCCGTCCGTGCCCTTCCGCCCGCCCACGCTGCAGGTGAGGGGCCTGGACGTCCAGCCCCCACTCCCTGCCGGGCACCCAGACACCTGCAGGAAGCGAAGGGGAATGAATGGAGGCCTGGACTCCTCCTGACTGAGGGAGGAGGGTCTCGGAGGCCTGGGTCTGGCCGATGAAGGGCCAGGGAGCCCCGGTGCCTGGAACCGGAGGGAGGGAAGGGCTGGGGACCGCCTGAGAGAGATCAGGACTGGCTGGCGGGCCGGACTCCTGAGTGTTTTTCAAGCTGACGCCCCGCGCCTTGCACCCAGTCCACGGTGGCGGACCCCCTGCTTCCGCTCGCGAAGCCGCACTTGCACATCTGGGATTTCGACGAGGTCATCAGCCGCTGGGAGACCACCTCCGGGTCGGCCCACGGGGTGCTCAAGACCCACGGCGGGCCCTACTCGCAGCCCAAGGTGCCGAAGCCCAAGGCCCTGGAGCGGAGCGTGGGGATGAAGGATTTGGGGGAAAAGGTAAGGTGCCAGGGTGCCGAGGTCCGCGGGGTCGAGGGCTGCAGTGCCGTCCCGCCCACCCTCAGGCTGGGCCCCCGGACCGTCTTCCCGCAGCTCAGTCGCCAGGGCTGGTGCCTCCCGCTGAGCACCCGGCACCAGCGCAGCGAGGCCCAGGCGCACTTCGCGTGGCCCGACCTGCGCCTGCGCGCGCGGCCCCTGCGCTTCGCCGACCACCACTTCGCGGGCGTCTCCCAGGTAGCGGATGGGACCCTGGGCGGGGCCAGCAGGGATTTTTTAATCAGGGGCGTGGCTAAGCGGCTTTGGGGGCGTGGCTAAAAGGGAGGCCTGAGAAGAGTACAAAGACTAGGGAAGGGGCTTGGACTTTAAAAATATATATAGATAGTTTATTGACTTTTGCCGGGACCGGTTTGGCTCAATGGATAGAGCGTCGGCTTGGGGACTGAAGGGTCCCGGGTTCGATTCCGGTCGAGGGCACGTGCCTTGGTTGCGGGCATATCCCCAGTGGGGGGTGTGCAGGAGGCAGCTGATCGATGACTCTTTCATCGATGTTTCTAACTCTCTATCTCTCTCCCTTCCTCTCTGTATAAAATCAATAAACTATAAAAAATATACATATATATATAGTTTATTGACTTTTTACAGAGAGGGAGAGGGATAGTTAGAAACATCCATCAGCTGCCTCCTGCACACCCCCTACTGGAGATGTGCCCGCAACCAAGGTACATGCCCTTGACCGGAATCGAACCTGGGACCTTTCAGTCCACAGGCTGATGCTCTATCCACTGAGCCACACCGGTTTTGGCGGGCCTTGGACATTTTGAGGTGGGGCCAGGAGGAGGAGGGGACTGGAGACCCGCAATCCCAGCTCTCTGGGGCTAATAAGCTCTGGGGCCCAAGGAATGAATGTTGAAGTGGGCTAGGAGGGTTTTTAAAAAATATGTTTTTATTATTTTTTAAAAAATATATATTTTATTTATTTTTCACCGAGAGGAAGGGAGAGGGATAGAGAGCTAGAAATAGTAGAAACATCGATGCAAGAGATACATCGGCCTCCTGCACACCCTCCACCAGGGATGTGCCCGCAACCCATGTACATGCCCTTGTCTGGAATCGAACCTGGGACCTTTCAGTTCGGAGACCGACGCTCTATCCACTGAGCCAAGCCGGTTTTGGCTGTTTTTATTGATTTCAGAGAGGAAGGGAGAGAGAGTAGAAACATCAATGATGAGAATCACTGACTGGCTGCCTCCTGCACACACGGGGATCGAGCCCGCAACCAGGCTTGACCGGGGAATCGAACCGTGGTCTCCCGGTTCACAGGTGGATGCTCAAGCCCTGAGCCACGCCGTTGGGGTAGGAGGTGGTTTTGAGGCTTAGAAAAGAGCCAGGAAGAACTGCTGTCTGAGCTCCGGCTTAACTCCCGCGGCGGGACAGGGGGGTTTGAGGCTGGGACCGGCCTTTCTGTTGGCCGGTGAGCAAAGAGCGGTTGGGTCTTGGAGTTTCTGGTTTGGGGAGCGGAGCTAAGGAGCGCTGGCATGCGACTGGCCAGGAAGGGGCGGCTCTGATTCTGGGGGCGAGAGAAGAGAGGCTGCTGAGTCCGGAGGAAGGAGTTCTCAGTCTGGGACCCGAGGCTTCAGGAGGGACGTCAAGCCGCTTCCTTGGCCACTCGGCTCCCGCCTGTGCCTCCCCAGACCGTCATTCCCTGGAGGCAGAGCCCGGAGCTGGCCGGCCGGCCTCTGGCGGTCTCCAACCAGGGAATCCTGGACCACTTCCAGCTCTACCTGCCCACCGCCGCCGCCGACTTCCGAGCCTTCTCCAAGTGAGCGAGTCCGCCTGGCACCGCCCCTGCACCCGCCCCCATCCCGGCTGCTGGGCCGCCCGGACCCCGGGGATGGCCTCTCCCCCCCTGACTTAGGCCCGGCCCCCTCCCATCCCGGCTGCTGGGCCGCCCGGACCCCGGGGATGGCCTCTTCCCCCCTGACTTAGGCCCGGCCCCCTACCATCCCGGCTGCTGGGCCGTCCGGACCCCGGGTATGCCCCCCCCCCCGCCCCCGACTTAGACCCAGCCCCCTCCCATCCGGCTGCTGGGCCGCCCGGACCCCGGGGATGGCCTCTCCACCCCTGACTTAGACCCAGTCCCCTCCCATCCCGGCTGCTGGGCCGCCCAGACCCCGGGGATGGCCCCCCTGACTTAGACCCGGGCGCTCAGCCTCAGCCGCTGCCCTGGCGCCCAGGGTCCGTCCATTCAGGAACATGAAGCCTGCGGAGGGACAGCCGGGCCCTGAGGACCCGGGGCGGGTCATTTGACAGTTGAGTCCCCAGATACTGCCCCGGGGCGAGAAAACCCCGGACTGCAGGCGTCAGAGTACCCGGAGGACCCAGGAATCCAGGCTAGGAGACCCCAACCCCATTTCCTCTAAGGGGTCCCCGACTCCTACAAATAGGCCCTCTCCCCAAAACCTGAGGCGGCCCGAGCCCTGAGCCTCGTCCCCACCCTGCTCCCCCCGACAGGAAGGAGTTGCCACCCTTGGACCGTGACCCCCAGAAGCCGCGCTGCCCGCGCTCCTGGCGGCCGCCGCCGCCGCCGCAGACCCGCGTGCCGCGCGCGCTCCCGGTGGCGCCGGCGGTGCCGCACCGCGGGGCGCTGTCCCTGGCGCGGGAGTCCTACGGCCTCCCGCTGCACCCGCTGCGCCGGCTGGACCCCTTCCTCCCGCCGGGGCTGGCCTGGCGGGCCCCGCACCGGAGCCCCGTGCCCCGCATCCACAGCGTCCCGCTGGCCTACAGCACCGAGAACGCCCGCTACGGCAGCGCCCGGCCCGCGCTGGTCTGAGCGCCCCGCCCCTGCCCCGCCCCCGCCCCGACAGGACACGCCCCCGCCCCGGACACGCCCCGAGGGGCGGGCCCGCCCGGAACCCCGCCCCTGGGCGCCTCGTGGGCGGGGCTGAGCTCGGGAACCCGCTCACCACTTGGGGGCAGGACCGAGTCTGGCCGTGGGCGGGGCGAACCCCACCTTCACCCGCTGGACTGTGGGGGCGGGGGCGGGCCTGGAGCATGAACTTGGGGCTGTGGGCCGCGGGCAGGGCGTGCCCCCTGGGGCAGGAGGGGCAGAACTCTGAATCAATGACGGTGAAATAGTCTACACCTCGCTCTTTGCTGGGTTGGGCTCTGCATCCTGGTTTCTGGGGGCCGGTGTGTGGGGTGAAGGCGCTCCCCCTGAATCCTGTGGGGGGGGGTATCTGGGAGCGGGCGGACCCGCTTCCTGAGCACAGAAGGCAACACGGAGCCAACCCCCTCCTAAGTTTGGGTTCTGGCTTTCAGTCCAAGGCAGGGGGAGCAGGACTGAGGCCCCCCCGCTATCACCATTGCAGGGGCGCTGGAGGGGCGAGCTCCAGACCCCTCCATAATGGGCAGACAGGGCTGCACACCCAAATGCTCTCTACCCCTCCTCCCTGCCCCAGCACGCCTCTAGCACCTAAGGATGGAGTCTGTAAAGTCCGCCGTCATCTTGAGTGTCTCCTGCTTCTTGGTGCCAAGCCACGCAGGGGAGGGGGGAGGGTGCTCACCCAGCCACTCCCGCACATCCCTGACCTTATCTGCCTCTCGCCCCCGAGGAGATTAGTGTCCAGGTTACCCCGCCAGGCCGCCACCCCCTGGCCTTGCCGCCCCCACAGCCTGCGGGTATAAGACCAGGTAAACACGGTAGGGAGGCACCCAGGATGGAGATGCTCCAGGTAAGGCTGGGAGGCCTGGGACCGGGTGAAGGCGGCCTCCTTCTAGAAGGGTGTGGACAGCCAGCGGGCTTCCTGCTGGCAGCAGTGGGGCGGGGTCCGAGGGTGGGTCCCGGGGTCCCTGGGTATGGGGTGGGGGTCAGGATGGAGGGGCTGGCCCTGACGTGTGCAGGCGGGGAATGGGAGGGCAGGGGCCCGGGCAGAGGTCTCGGACTGGCCCTGAAGAAATGGCCTCATCCCAGGGGCTGCTGCTGTGGCTGCTGCTGAGCGTGGGGGGGGTGCGGGCATCCAGGGGGCCACTGCGGCCACTGTGCCGGCCCGTCAATGCCACGCTGGCTGCCGAGAAGGAGGCCTGTCCCGTCTGCATCGCCTTCACCACCAGCATCTGCGCCGGCTACTGCCCCAGCATGGTGAGCAGTGACCGCTCAGCCTGGCCCCGGGAGGCAGGGGCGGGGGCGGGAGGGCGGCGGGTGGGGGCTGGGAGCTGGAGTCAGGGCTGGGCGTGTGGGAGGGGGAGCGCAGAGGGTCCCCTGGATACCCTGGACTTGTGGGGGGCACAGGGGAGACCAGGGGAGGGCTCGGCTCTGGGCAGACGCCATACCACCACCCCCCCCTGCACTGCCTCCAGGTGCGGGTGCTGCCGGCCCCTCTGCCGCCCGTGCCCCAGCCGGTGTGCACCTACCGCGAGCTGAGCTTTGCCTCCATCCAGCTCCCCGGCTGCCCGCCTGGCGTGGACCCGGTGGTCTCCTTCCCTGTGGCCCTCAGCTGCCGCTGTGGGCCCTGCCGCCTCAGCAGCTCCGACTGCGGGGGGCCCAGGGCCCAACCCTTGGCCTGTGACCGGCCCACCCTCCCAGACCTCCTCTTCCTCTGAGGATGCCCCCCAGAACCCCCCACCCCCACCCCCACCCCCGGAGCCGGCCGCTGCTCCCCCAATAAAGGCTCTCACACCGCCCTGGGCTGCCTTTCTCTGGGGTCCGGGGGCAATGCACGCGAGCGCACACCACACACACACAGGGTCCAGTTTCAGAACATTTTATACAAAGTCACAGTGTCAGACCTGGTAGAAAACGGGGGAGGGGGGAGGGGGGAGACGGACACGGGACGGGAACATCAGCTCAGGAGGTGTCCATCGTCTCGCCTTCTGTAGGAGAAGAAGGTCAGGTGGTCACTGCAGCCCAGAGCCAGGCCCGCGCCCTCCCAGCTCTCCGGACCGGGCGGGGGGGGGGTGGGGGGGGCAGGGACGGGCGGAGGGGAAGCCACGCACTGAGCTCGTTGAAGAGGAAGGCGTCCTGGTACTCCTTCATGTACTGCGTGGAGCGCGACTCGTCCAGGAAGAGCGAGTAGACCCGCTTGATGTCGTCCACCTGCACCTCCGTGCCCTGAGGGGACAGGGAGAACTCAGGGGCCCCCCAGGTAGCCGGGGTTCGAGCACCGCCTCGGCCAGCTCCTGGCTGAGCCCCATCTCCACTCCTCCCTCTGGGGGACGGACCTCACAGTATCAGCTCTCAGTGTAAAGACGTTTACTGAGTGCCTACTGTGTGTCCGGCCCGGAGCCGCAGAAATAAACCCGGGCAAAGCGCCCTGCCTCGGAAGACGTATGTTCTAGGAGCAAACGCAGCCCCGGCCGAGCCCCTGGAGGGCGGGTCTCGCTGGCCGGCCCGGGCCCGGCGCTGACCTTGCGCTTGCGGCACACCAGGCTGGCGGCCGTGATGAGCTGGATGGCGTAGCGCAGGGAGGTCTCCAGCCCGATGCGGGTCAGCACCGTGTAGGCGTCCTCACTCATCTCCACATCCTCCTCCTCACACCTGCAGGCGGCGGGGTGGGGTCGGACGAGGTCAGGCCTGTGACTGCAGCACGCCCTGCCCCCCCATCCCTCCCTGAGAAAATGTGGAATCTGCATCTTCAGAACCGCAGAGCGCTGGGCAAGAAGGGCCACTGAGGCACAGGCTGGGCCTCCACCCCCCTCCCCTCACAGGCTCTTTCCTCCGTCAGTTACCACCCCCCCCCCACCTGCAGCGGAGGCCACGCCCACTCTTTCGGGCCCAGAGTCGCTGGCCATCCCCCCTCCCCCCAGATCTCAGGGCCCTGTGCCAGCCGGGCCGCGCCCACCGGATGCGGAGGATCTGCTTTGTGTCCTTCTCGCTGTAGGGGGAGGTGGAGACGATGAGCAGCCGGTCCAGCAGGTCGATGGGGATGCCGTGGGGGCTCTGGTAGCTGGTCCCCCGGATCCTGAGGGGGGAGGAGGCTGTCAGGGTAATGCTCCCCCAGAGCCTGGCTCTCCGTTCCTTCTACTCGGACTCCCCCTCCCGCCCAGCACAGCCCACCCTCAGGGCCAAACACCACGTAACCTTCAGCCCCAGCTGGCGTCAGAGCCGACCGCGTCAACCCCACTGGATTGTCTTAGCGGCGGCTCTGCCGGGATCACTGACCGAGGGCCCCTCCCTGTGTGACGGGGAGGGCCGTGGGTCCTGTCCCCTGTGCACCGGACCGTCAGTGACAGCTGCGCTCTGTGCAATGGGGCAAACACTCAGCCACCAAACTGAACCAGGCTCCTGTGAGCCTCTGGTGGCTATTTGCCCACCAGCCAATGCATCGCCTGGCTTTCTGTGTTGTTTGGAGACAGCTTACTTAATATGTTACTGATGTGCCGAAACCATGTTGGCTCAGTGGATAGAGTGTCAGCCTGCGGACTCAAGGGTCCCGGGTTTGATTCCGGTCAAGGACATGTACCTTGGTTGTGGGCACATGCCCAGTAGGAGGTGTGCAAGAGGCAGCTGATCCATGACCCTCTCTCATCCATGTTTCTAGCTATCTCTCTCCTTTCCTCTCTGTAAAAAATCAACAAAATATATATTTTAAAAAATATGCTACTGACTCACTCGTGGTGACCGCACTGTAACTCGGGCCGTAATCCGTTCCCCTGACATGTGTTTCCTGTGAGACTGAGCCCCCAGCCTCGGCAGCAGCAAAACCACCACCAAGCACCGACGTGACAAAGCGGCACTAACTAGATCGCGACAGAGAAAGCATCACAAATACCGAGCTGTGGGTTCCAGGTACATTTTAGCAGCAGGTTCGCAAATCCCCGACCTGCCCACAAAGAGTGACAGGACTGCCGCCTCCCCGGAGCGGCCGGGACGCCGTGCCCACCCCGAGCGGCACCCGCCACACGGTCTGGCCCCGCTGCTGGCCTGAGCCTTGGGGTCAGCCTCCCGCCGCCCTGGCAGTGCCCGGCCTTGCTGTCCTCAGTGGGAAACGGGACTGAGACAGTCTCTACATCCTGAGCTTCTCCTGAGGTTCCGGGCGGCTCGTCTGGGCAAAGTGCCAGCGCAGAGCCAGGGGAGAGTCCGCGCTGCCCCGAGCCCTGCCCCCTCCCTCCCTGGGTGCCACCCAGCCCTCGGGGCAGTCCGTTGGCACTGCCCGCTACCCGGGCTCCAGCCATCGGGGGGCTGTTTGCTCCCCACTTCTGTCTCCTCCTCGGGGCCAAACCACAGACGAGGGGTGGAGAGAGCCGGCCGGGAGGACGACAGGGCCCGGGGCGCTAGCCCCCTAGGACGGAGGTTCCCAAGCTTCGCCGGGGCTCCGAGACGTGTCCCCAGCTCCTCAGGCCGACAGACACGCTTCACTGGTTAAGTACTGGGTCTGGGTGAGCTCCTGCAGCCTCCGCAGTGTCCAGCACACGGGACTGCGCATCCTCAGGCGTGAAGCTACCCCACAGGACCCTGTGTCTGATGCAGAGCCTGGGGTGCCCCGGCACACAGACTGAGAAACGATAGCCTTAGGGATAAGGAGCAACACAACAGAAAACCAGGTGCCGACCCACCCTGACCACCACCTGCCTTGTTTTCTAAAATATATTTTATTGATTTTCCACAGAGAGGAAGAGAGAGGGAGAGAGAGCGAGAAACATCGATGAGAGTATCATGGATCAGCTGCCTCCTGCACACCTCGCTCTGGGGATGTGCCTGCAACCTAGGTACATGTCCTTGACTGGAATCGAACCTGGGACCTTCCAGTCCACAGGCCGATGCTCTCTCCACTGAGCCAAACCGGTTTCGGCTACCTTGTTTTTTTTTTTTTAATTTAAACATATTTTTATTCATTTCGGAGAGGAAGGGAGAGGGAGAAAGAATCACTGATTTGCTGCCTCCTGCACACCACACACTGGGGATCGAGTCTGCAATCCGGGCAAGTGCCCTGACCAGGAATTGAACCCTGACCTCCTGGTTCATAGGTCGACAGTCAACCACTGTGCCACACTGGCCAGGCCACACCTACCTGTTTAAGGGAAGGGCCTACCCTCTGGCCTGGGCCCTGGTGCGGGCAGGGAACCTGTGACAGCCCCTCTCCCCTCCACACCCCCGCTGTGCCCTCCCCGCCCGCCCGGAGCCCCACCGCGGAGCCGGCTCACCGGGTGATGCCGCGGTTGGTGGCCATGATGAGCACGGGCGCCATGTCGCTCTCCAGCGCCCGGTTGAGGAAGGAGAAGCTCTCGATGTCCAGCATGTGGACCTCATCGATGAACAGCACCTGGGAGGGGCGGGGCGTCAGACTCCCGCGAAGAGGCCTCCGGTCCCCCTCCCCCCCCCCCCCCCCCCAGCGCCAGCCGGCACCCACCCCGGGGATGATCTCCGCCTTGCCCTCCTCGCGCCACTCGGCCACCTTGGCGTTGATCTGCTCTCGGACTTCTGACTTGATCTCCCCTGTGTCGCCTGTGGAGGCAGGGGTGACGGGGCGGTCAGAGAGGAGACAGGGTCTGGGGCCGGCCGAGGGCGAAGGCGGAGGAAGACGGGGCACAGGGACAGAGGGAAGGGAGACCGAGCCTGGCAGGGGTGTGAGTGAGTGCAGGGGGGGATGGATGAGTGGTCGGGCGGGGCGCACCTGAGAAGAGGGCCAGGAAGCCCTGGGTGCGGGAGTTGATGACGTCGATCTCGTGCAAGGACACGGTGTGCACCACCTCCTTGCGCTTCTGTAGCTCCCCGTCCGGGCACTGCACGAACTTGGTCTGCGGTTGGGATGGGGGAGGCGGGGGGGGGGGGGGGGGGGGAGATAAGGCAGAGAAGAGCGTGAAGGGGCCCTCAGGCTCCCTGGAAAGTGGGGGCTGCCTGGAAACCCCGGGCCCAGCAGCAGCCAGAGCCTGAGGGGACAGGTTCTCGGGGACGCGGGAGCCCTGAGCGCAGGGCCCGCTGAGGGCCCTCCTAGGGGCGCCGGGAGGACCAGGGACCGGGGACGGGGCGGGTGAGGGGCCCGGGGGAACATGGAGGTGCCCGGAGGGAGGTGCCCAGAGCACCTGGGAGCCCATGGCGTCGTAGTCACGGGCGCGCGTGAAGGAGCGGCCGAGCTTGGAGATCTTGCCAGTGGCCTTGTCGATGGTGATCACATCCCTGTGGGAGGAGGCGGAGTGAGGCCGGAAGGTGCCCGGGATCCCCCCCCTCCCCCATGGGGGGCGGCCCGCCGCTGCTCACCCGGCCTGGACCTTGTCCTTGGTCAGGGACTCGATCATCTTGGTGCCCAGGTCGTAGATGGTCTCCATCTCGGTGGTCTTGAGGGTCAGCTTGCCCACCTTGGAGCCCTGAGGGGGGACAGGCCGGCCAGGCTCAGAGACCCAACGGCTCCCGACACGACGTGGAGACAGGCTCGCCGCGGGGAAGCTGGGGGTGATGGGCGTGGCCACTGCCATGACTGGGGTGGCTTCATGTGTGCACACGTATGTCAAAACTTAACACCCGGAAACTGTCAATGTGGGCTGCTTAGTGCATTTGCTCCTCAACAAAGTTATTATAAAAAAACCAGCAAACAAACGAAATGCTAAAAGATTAAAAAAAAAAAAAAAAAAGCCCTGGCTGGTTTGGCTCAATGGATAGAGTGTCTGCCCGTGGACTGAAAGGTCCAGGGTTCGATTCCGATCAAGAGCACGTGTTTGGATGACAGGCTTGATCCCCAGTGGGGGGCATGCAGGAGGCAATGAGTCAATGATTCTCTCTCATCATTGATGTTTCTCTCTCTCCCTCACCCTTCCTCTCTGACATCAATTATATATATAAACAAATCAATCATACATATAAACAAATCAATCATATCTATAAACAAATCAATCATATATATAAACAAAACACAAAAGTAAGTTGACCTGGCCAGCATGGCTCAGTGGTTGGGCATCAACCTATGAAGTAGGAGGTCAGTTTGATTTCCGGTCTGGGCACTGCCCGGGTTGAGGGCTTGATCCCCAGTGTAGGTGTACAGGAGAATTAGCTTGGGAATAGCTTTCCTTATATTTAAATATTCTACTGTAGTTTTATTTTTAAAATTCTTATTGGGGTGGCAAATTAAAAAAAAGAGGGTGTCACCCTGGTCAGGTACTCAGAGCGTCGTCCTAATGCACCAAGGTTGCAGGTTCGATCCCTGGTCAGGGCACATGCCAGAATCAACCGATGAATGCATACATAAGTGGAACGACAGATCAATGTTTCTCTCTCTCTAGATCAATAAATTAAAAAAATAAAAGAGAGACCAACAGATAAATTATTAGGTAAATAGGAGATAAAGGGGGAACCAAACCATGAAAAGGTGGACGTGGTAACAGCGAGGGTGGCTACTCCTGCGGGGAGACTTGGGGTGCAAAGAGGAAGGAGGAAGGGCTGGGGGTTGGCAAAGTTCTCGTTTTTGCTCTTGGGGGTGGTTATAAAGGCATTTGCTTTGTAATCACTTATTAGACTACATGCTTCTTTAAGATGTTTCCTTGTATCTTTTACTTATAACAAAAGGTAAAAAAAGGGAGAGAAGCTGAGCTGTGTAAACCCCGCGCACGGAGCGGGCGTTAACCTGACGGTTAGGAATTCCCCAAAGAAACTCCCAGATCTCCTCATTCCCCACTTGGTTTTAAGGCTCACGGGCCCCTCACCAATCATCGAGCTGCTGTCAATGCAAATAACCCTCCTGCAGGGCGCAGGTGCTCCCATCGGCAGCTGGAACATTCCGTGCAACCCTCCCGCCCGAGGAGGCTGGACTCGGGCAGACTCACCGTCCCCGTGGCCGGCCGGTCAATCTGGATCTCCACCACCTCCCCTTCGATGATCTCCGTCTCCTCCCTGACCAGAGAGCAGAGCTGAGCGGAGGGCCTGACACCTGCCCCGGGAACCGCTAACTCCCATCAGCCCCCGGGAACCGCTAACTCCCATCAGCCCCCGGGAACCGCTAACTCCATCAGCCCCTGGGCACAGGCCGCGCCGGCTGGGACGGGGGAGAGGAGGGTCCGCGGGCCCGGGCTCACTTGATGCGGACGCCGATGGACCTGCGGAAGGCCTGCGTCAGCGCCTCTGTCTTGCTCATCTCCAGGGAGAAGATCTCGCTGCCCGCTATGGCGGTGAACGGGGTGTCCGGGCCCAGGGCCTGCGCCATGCCTGGGGAGAGGGGGTCTGGGTGGGTGGGGCCCTGGCACCATGTCCCCCCAAATTCACTCTGTGCGGGCAGAAAAAGGCAGGGCTGAGGCCTGCACGGGAGCCTGGGTTAGAAACCGCACCGTCTCGGGACACACTCTATAGTCGAACCCTAACATCTTACCAGTACCGGCCAGGCTTCTCCACGGCGGGAGGCCTGGGCTCGGCAGGTGACCGCAGGGCTGTCCCTCCAAGGACGGCAAGCACTGAGCCCGCCCCCCAGCAGCCCCTCCCGAGGGCCCTGCCAGCTCCGAGCCACATCTCAGAGTCCCGCTCCCTTCTGACCAGGGTGGGTGGGAACCCTTCCTCGTCCCACTCTGCCCCCGAGAGTGCTCCCTGCTGTCCGTCCGGACACGCCCAGACACCCTCAGTCTCGGGAAGCCTCCTCTGAGGACCCCACTATGGCCCCGACCCGGCAGGTCAGGAGCCCCCTGTCCATCATGGCACACGTCACGGTGGGCACCGTGTCCGCAGCCTCCTCCTGGGCAGGAGGCTCCTTCCTGTCCGGGCTCGGGTCTTCCTCGTCAACGTGTTCCCAGGGTCGGGCCAGGGCTCGGCACACCAGGACCCTTGGATGAGTGCTGCTTCCTCATTTCCTATGTAATAATCCTATATAATAAAAGGCTAATATGCAAATCAACTGAAAGGTGGAATGACTGATTGCTCTGCTGCGCACTGACCACCAGGGGGCAGACGCTAATGCAGGAGCTGCCCCCTGGTGGCCAGTGCGCTCCCACAGAGGGAGTGCCGCTCAGCCAGAAGCTGGGCTCGCTGGGAGTGAGCACAATGGTGGTGGCAGGAACTTCTCCCACCTCCGTGGCAGAACCAAGGACCCTTGGGGGATGTCCGCCTGCTGGCTTAGGCCCACTTAGTCTGGGCACGGGCCTAAGCTTGCAGGCGGACAACCTCCAAGGGGTCCAGATACAGGCCAGGCTGAGGGACTCTCCTCCCCCAGGTGCATGAATGATGAATGCTGTGCACCAGTGTGTGTGAGTGTGTGTGTCTTTTCTTCCTCTCTGAAATCAATAAAAATGTTATAAAAAATTCTAGTCAATAAAATATGAGCAAAAGTGTGTGGAACTCCCACGACAGTGCCACAGGGAGCAGAACCTCCCTGCAGCTGCTCTCTTCCGCCTGCTAACGGCGTTGGGGGGAGGCTGGCGCTTAGGCAAACTCTGGGGTCCCAAAGTGACCCCCCGGGAACAGGGCAGGGGCTGCTGAGGCGGGAACGCGGAGGCTTCATGGAACTGCCCAACGGCCGCAATGGCCTCCATTCATTCTCCCCGACAGTGAGCCCTGCGTGGGTCCGCCCAGCCACGGCCACGTGTGGCTGGTTAACGGCGCCTGATCGGATGCTGCCGTCGCGGGAGGGGCCGTCGGGCGGAGACCAGAGAGCTCCTGTGCCAGCGCCTTACCCATGGCGATGGCCGTCTTCCCGGTGCCCGGCTGCCCGGCGATGAGCACCGCCCGGCCCGCGATCTTCCCTTCTCGGATCATCTCCAACACCACGCCCGCCGCCCGCCGGGCCGCCAGCTGGCCCACCATGCCCTGGGACGCCTATGGGCAGAGGGAGAGCACCCCGGTGACTCCCCCGGGCACCCTGCGTCTGTCCCGCCCCTGTCCCGTGAGATGGAGGTGGGTGTTGGCTGGGGCGTTGGGGGAAAGCCTTTTTTTTCTAAGACGGATGAAAGAGTGCACGGGCTGAGTTTTATAAACTGCGGGTAAAGGGCCGGGAGAAGGTGACGTCTCCCTATCCCGGGCCTCCCGGGAGCGGCCTCCCACCCGCCCGCCCGCCCGCCCGCCCGTCAGCGCTACCTGCCGCGGCTCCAAGGCGTCGTCCAGCCCCAGCCCGCGGATGTGGGAGTGGGCGCCTGTGAGCGAGAGGACCAGAGGCGGTTACTGGCCAGCTTGTGGCCGGAGTGAGGGGCTCCCCTGGGTCCCTGCTTCCCTCCTTGTCCAAACGGGGGGCTGACTCCCCACCCCCTGGAAGGAGGGCGGGAATGCTAACTGCTCCGTAAACGAGAGGGCCCTTCTTGGAAGTCATCCCAGCGGGACACACGGCTCCCCGCTGTGAGCTGGCAGCAATGACTCGAGTCTCTGAGCCTCAGCTAGAATGACAGTCACCGTGCGCCCCTCCCGGGCACCGGCAAGGATTCAACGGGATCGAACACGTGCATTCGATGGCCACCTGCTGGCATCTGCCTGTGCTGGGGACACGGCTGGGAATGAGCCAGGCCCGGCCCGGCCCGAAGGGGCTGGTGCCCAGTGCGTGCCGGGGGTGGGGCAGCCAGCACGCGGCCAAACATAAGCCAACACCACTTCCGTGACTCCCAGCAGGATGCCAGGGCACCAGGAGCCGGCGGGAGAGCGGAGCCTGCAGCCTGGGGTTGGGTCCGGCACGGCGCCCCCTGTGCCATCTGACCGCTCTCGGGAACTCAGCCCCTCCCGCCCCCACCGGGTAGGGGGATGGGACGCGGCTGCATGCTTCCGGGGGTCCTGGGCGGGCCGGCTCTCGGGGGTGCCCAGGGCAGGCGGGGTCTTCCCCAGATCCGGGCTCACTCACCAATACGCTCAATTCTCGTCACATCGCGGACCTCTGGCACTTTGGTTGTGGCCGTCTGGGGGGGAGAAGGCACGTCAGAGCCCTAGTCATCCCAGTTTCCACCAACTCCTCCTCCTCCGTCCCTCCTGCCACTCCTCTCCAGCCCCAGGAGGATGCAGACTGGGTGTGTCCCACCCCCAGCCCCTCCCCCACGGCCCAGCACATGGCTGGCGGGAGGAAGTCCTCCCGTCACCTGTAACCGTAGGACGGGCAGGAACGCAGAGCGGGCATCCAGCGGGCATGGCCTGCTGATGTGCCAGCTGCCCTTGCGCTGCGATGCCCCAGCTGCCACAGCTTTTGCTCATGCGAGTCCTGAGTCCAGCCCATCGCCCTGCCCCCTCACTGAATGAGGCCACGCTTCGCTCACGAGGGGAGCCCTCCCTGACCCCTGACCCCGCCCTGCCAGGCTCATTCTGGGGCCGCCGGGAGTCCAGACAGAAGGAGGGGCCTCCCAGGGAACCCGATCTCCCCGTAGCCTCACTGTCACGAGGGAGACGAGAAAATCAACGTTCTTGGCTCCGAGGGATGTGTGACCAATGAGGGGCCCAGTCCACGCCTCACTGTTCACTCAGGGCCAATGCTTTGAATGAATGATGCACTAAGGTGCTGAGCTCATTCAAAGGGCAGGTACTGCCGGAACCGGTTTGGCTCAGTGGATAGAGCGTTGGCCTGCGGACCGAGGGGTCCCAGGTTCGGTTCCGGTCAAGGGCATGTACACTGGTTGCGGGCACATCCCCAGTAGGGGGTGTACAGGAGGCAGCTGATTAATGTTCTCTCTCATCGATGTTTCTAGCTCTCTATCCCTCTCCCTTCCTCTCTGTAAAAAATCCATAAAATATATTTAATAAAACAATAATTTTAAGAAAGGGCAATTAGTGGTTGCCTGGGGCTGGGAGGACTGAAGGGCGCTGGGGAAGAGGAATGGGGTTTCTTTCAGGGGTGAGGAAAATGCTCTAAAATTGAATGACAGAATGCGCACCTCTGCGAATAAACTATGTACGTTACGGGGTAAACTGTACGGGCTGTGAGTTATATCTCAATAAATCTGTTCACAAAACGTCTGGGGGACGGGTCCTTAGGTGTCTGTTGCATTATTTTCTGACACTTGGGAGTATTTCGTAATTCCCAATAAGGAAAGGGAGACTGGAGACGCCAGCATGCTCCTTCCGCTGCTTGGCCACCCGCCCCCACCCGCCTTCCTTCCCACAAGGCACCCGTCCTGAGGGACCCTCCTGGTCCTGACCTCCACCCAGTCCCCAGGCCGCTCCCGCTTCCTCTCGCCTCATCAGAGGTTGGACCCCAAGAGCATGGGTCACTGGCCCCAAACCACTGTCAGGAGACTGACAGTACACCCCACACACCCTCCACAGCCCACCGGACCTTACTTGAGGCCAAAAAAAAAAAAAAAAAAAAAAAAGGATCCAGGAACCCCAACCTTCCCAATCCCAACTAAGACCCCCTCCTACAGGCCCCTGCTTTCCCCATGAGCCTCTCTATCACCCCCTGCTGCCCAAGGAAACAGCCAGACTCAAACTTCACCCCCAGACACCAGTAACTCCCACCCCCCTTCCCGCTTCCTGATTGGAGTCACCATGGGAACCCAGGCAGCTGGAAGCTCAGTCCAACCCCCCAGCTCAGGCCACATCCCTTCTCCACTCACGTTTCTTTTTTTAACCTATTTTTATTGATTTTATTACAGAGAGGAAGGGAGAGGGATAGAGGGTTAGAAACATATCGATGAGAGAGAAACATCCATCCGCTGCCTCCTGCACCCCCCCCCCCCACTAGGGATGTGCCCACAACCTTGACCGGAATTGAACCTGGGACCCTTCAGTCCGCAGACAGACACTCTATCCACTGAGCCAAACCGGTCAGGGCCACTCACATGTTTCCTGAGCAAGTACTTGGTGCCAGCCCCCGTGTACCGGGTCTGTCTTTTATGGAGTTCACATTCACTCATTCATTCAAGATTCAAGTAGTAATTCATCACGCACCCCCACTGGGCATGCCCCTTCGGGGTGTTGGAAATATGTGGGGGCCCGGGGCCCTTTCTCTTCTCCTCGGACAGCCTCTGAGTTCCCCACACTCTTCCTTGTTTGGCTCAAGATTCACTGGGCGACCGACCGCAGGCTCCCAAGCACACAGGCCGGGTCCCGCCTGCGCTTCTCCCTGGGACTCGGCTGCCACCCCCGCCGAGAGTAACAGGTTCCTGGATGGCTCGGGGCCCAAGACACTCAAACCCTCAGCAGGCTTTAGGGCAAAGGACGGCAGAACTGGCCACTGGCTGTGCCCCGAAAGCTGGAAGTCTGAGTTGCTATTAGAGATGACCACTGAGACCCTAAACATCCACCGGAACCCACCATTCCGGGATCCAACCTTTTCTCTCCTCCTCCCTCGGACCCGGGATCCAGGCCCCCAAACCCTCCTCCCTCAGACCCGGGAGCCCAGGTCCCCAAACCCTCCTCCCTCAGACCCAGGAGCCCAGGCCCCCAGCCTCTCCTCCCTCGGACCCAGGCCCCCAGCCCCTCCTCCCTCAGACCCAGGGGTCCAGGCCCCCAGCCCCTCCTCCCTCAGACCCAGGGGTCCAGGCCCCCAGTTCCCTCCTCCCTCGGACCCAGGACAGCAGGTTCCCTCCTCAGCCCTCCGCATGCAGCCACTCACCACGGTTGCCATGATGCTCACCAACCGCTACTACCCTAACGGAACCGGAAACGGTGCTGAGAACGAGCGCCGTGGCCCCTCTAGACTGCCAGATCCTCCAGAGATCTCGGTGGTTCCGCATAAATATGCAAACGCTCCTCGTAGGGCGAGCCGTTCCCTTTTTAGGCCGGGGCTCCCGGGCCGGCTCCCAGCTCCCTCTGGCTCCTCCTCCTTTTACCCAAGCCGCCTCGCCGCGGAGGCCGATTGCAAAATTCCTGCCCCTTCTGTGTGCGACCACACGTCCCCCACGCTCCCGGCCCTCCCGGCCCCGCCCCCTTCCTCCCCCGCCAAGCTTCGAATTGACAGCGCTCACCACCAATCACCGAGCGCAGCCATCGCCAAGGGGCGGGGCGAGCCCTGCGCTCTCCGCCAATGAGAGACGTGGGAACCCCGCCCCCCAGGCGCTGGCCAATGGCGCTGGCCGGGGGGCGGGCCCCGCCTCCTGGCGGCCGCGAGGTTTTACTGCAGGGGCCCCCGCAGGGCTCAGTGCAGCCGCGGCCGCCTCCCGCTCAGGTCCGGGGGGGTGCGGTCGTGCAATAGGAAGCCGAGGGCGTTGCAAGCTTCCCTCCGGGCACCAGCTACCTGGCTCCACGTCCCGTCGGGTGCATTCCACAGACACCCCCGGCTCCTCCACCAGTGGCCCCTTAGAGCTCCCTTCCCGCGCCCGCCATGCCGCTCAGCCGCACTTTGTCCATGTCCTCGCTGCCGGGACTGGAGGAGTGGGAGGATGAATTCGACCTGGAGAACACGGTGCTCTTCGAAGTGGCCTGGGAGGTGGCCAACAAAGGTGAGCGCGTGCCGGGCGGCGGGGCCCCGGCGAGAAGAGCAGCCGGGGATGGGGATGGGGGCCGGGCGCTGGTGAGTGGTAGGGGGACGGGGACTCCATAGCATGACTTTGGGGCTCTGGGCAAGGAGCCTGTGACTCCTGTGTCCTTGGGGAGGGTCTGGGGTGTGTCTCCTGCGCCCTGGAGGGATGGGGATGGGTCTCCCGACTGTGAAGATAAAAGAAAGTCCGGTCCTGGGTCCTAGGACAGTGGGGCTAACCTGAAAGCTTGCTAGGTCCCCCCAGAGGGAGGTTTCGGAAAGACTTGGGGTCCTGAACAGGGAAAGAGATGCGGGGCTTGGACATTCTCAGCGCAAGCCTGGGAAATGGCTGAGTCTCAGACCTGTGGCCCCTCCGGATTGGAGAGGGAGCTGACTGGGAAAGAGAATGCCTAGGTCGTGGTGGGGGAATAGGTGAAATGGTCGCTCGAGGGTCAACCTGGGAAAGGACCGGAGGCCCTGCTTCTTAATCCCAGCGTGGGGGAGGGTTGGGCACCCGCACGCCTGGGCTGTGAATGAGCTGGAGGCCTGAACTCTGGGTCCCTGGATGCGGAGGGGCCTGTGGCCGCAGATTCTTGGAGACTGGGAGGAGGGAAGGCTGGGATGTCCTAAGTTGGTCAGGGGCTGGGCCCTGGCGTGGGAGTGGCTGGGCCCTGGGTTTCTGTGTCCCGGGCTTCAGAGGGTCTGAGATCCTGCATGTGGAGAGCCGAGTGAGGCTGGAGGCCCAGGAGCTGGGCCATCTGGGAAGAGAGAGCAGTGGGTTTTTGGGGTGTTTTTTTTTTTTTTTTTTTTTTTTTTTTTTTTTTTTTTTTTTTTTTTTTTCTGAGCTGAGAGAAAGGACTGGGTCTTATTCCATGGGAGGGGCCTGAGAACACAGAGCCGTGTGTCCAGAGGTGAAGAGGCGGGGGGCCCAGGCTCCTGGGTCGGGACTGGAGTCCCTCCCGGGAGGGGCAGGGTCCCGTCTGCCCGCGCCCTCCGCTGGGGACAGGGGACTGGAGGAGAGGTCAGCCGCGTCTCTGGGGCTAAGACATGACAATTCCAGCTTTTCTTGGGCAATTGGAAGGGAGCTGACTAGGGCCCTGCCGTGCCCAGAGGCTGACGAGAATTTAAACCCAGGTCCTGGACGCTGAGAACTGGGGAACCCGGTCCCGCTAAGCCTGGGGACCCCAGCCCCTAATTCCTTCAGACCCAGGAGCTCAGACCCCCAGCCCCCTCCGCTCAGACTTAGAGCCTAGGCTGAGCCCCCTCCTCCCTCAGAGCGGCACCCCCACCCCCTTCCTCCCTTCCACTCGGAGGGCTTGTCCAGCTCCCATATCCTCCTCTCTGCCTCTGATGTGTAGGTTCCGGGTCCCCTCTTCCCACTAAGCCAGAAGCCAGGGGCCCCAGCGCCTCCCATGACCCTCCTCCCCTTACCCCCTCCCTCCCGACGCTGGCCTGGGGCTCAGACCCGTGGGCCTCAGCTGGGCCTGTCCTCACGGGTCCGGGCCCCCAGTGGGCGGCATCTACACGGTGCTGCAGACGAAGGCGAAGGTGACGGGAGACGAGTGGGGCGACAACTACTACCTGGTGGGGCCCTACACGGAGCAGGGCGTGAGGACGCAGGTGGAGCTGCTGGAGCCCCCGACGCCGGCTCTGAAGCGGACGCTGGACTCCATGAACAGCAAGGGCTGCAAGGTGGGAAGGGGCTCCGCCGGGGCAGGTAGGTGGGTGCCTGCCGTCGGGTGGGAGCAGGCGGACAGGGGAAGGGGGTGGGGTGGGGGGCACCGCCTCAGGCAGAGAGAGAGGCTTGGACAGAAGCACGGATGGCCTGGGACTCCCCCAGGCATTCCTAGGGGTGGTGCGATGGACACTTAGATGCAGGAAGTGGGTGGGTTCATTGGTAGATGGGCAGACAGACAGCAGGTACAGGACAGACGGAAGGCCGGGACCAGTTTGGCTCAGTGGATAGAGTGTTGGCCTGTGGACTCAAAGGTCTGGGGTTCGATTCCAGTCAAGGGCATGTACTTTGGTTGCGGGCACATCCCCAGTGGGGAGTGTGCAGGAGGCAACTGGTCGATGCTTCTCTCTCATCGATGTTTCTAGCTCTTTATCCCTCTCCCTTCCTCTCTGTGAAAAATCAATAAAATATATTAAAAAAAAAAAAAAAGACGGAAGGATGGTTCCAAGATCCTCAGGCCCAGAGAGAGAGGGGAAGAGCTGGGCGCAGAGGACAGGAGGCCAGAGCCCAGGGGAGAGGCGGGCTTGCTTAGAGGAGGCAGGTGGCGGAGTTAGGTGTTGGACAGGCAGCCTGACGTTCACATTTGGCTCCTCCACTTCCTGTCCGTGTGACCTTGGCCCCCGGCCTCGGCCTGACGAGGCTGTGGGAGGGTGACAGGGTGAATGGATTCCTCGGCCCCGTTCTTGGCGTGCAGTCAGCGCTGAGGGTGAGCTATTATCGTGGTGGTTATTATTATCATGGCCATCATTATTTCTATAAACAGCCGGGCTTGCAGAGGGGGGCGGACAGGCAGACCAGGGGGAGAGAGAGAGAGATGGATGGAGAGACAGTGAGTGTCCCCAAAAGGTGATGGTGGCTCCCCGCCTGCCTCCCCGCCCCCAGCCCTCCCGGGACTAGACCAATAGGGGAGGAGACAGAGTCTAGACCCAGAAGGAGAGAGGAAGACGGAATACTGATGAAGGGAGGAGTTTTGGTGAGCAGAGCCAGGGGTTGGAAGCGGGGATCCGGGCCGACATGGCTCACATGGTCCCGGTTCAGTTCTCGGTTTTGGCACATGCCTGGGATTATGGGCTTGATCGCCAGTAGGGGGCGTGCAGGAGGCAGCCGATCCGTGATTCTCTGTCATCATTGATGTTTCCATCTCTCTCTCTCCCTTTCAAATCCTCTCTGAAATCAATCCATTTACTTTTTTATTTTAAAAAATATATATTGTATTGATTTTTTTTTACAGAGAATAAGGGAGAGGAATAGAGAGGTAGAAACATCCTTGAGAGAGAAACATCCACCAGCTGCCTCCTGCACGCCTCCCACTGGGGATGTGCCCCCCAACCAAGGTACATGCCCTTGACCAGAATCGAACCTGGGACCCTTCAGTCCGCAGGCTGATGCTCTATCCACTGAGCCAAATTGGTTTCGGCTCACATCAATTTATATATATATAATTTTTTTTTTTTTTTTTTAAGAGAGAGGAGGGGAGTCCCAGGGCTCCAGTGAGAGCTGGAGGATGAGCACAGAGAGGTGGCCGCCCCCACGGGGAGGGCTGTGAGGCCGAGGGCGGAAGGACGGACAGATGGGGAGGGAGAAGTCCAGTGGGTTCTTCATCATTCACAGCTTCTGGGTTGGGGTGGGGTCTGGAGCCCATTCAGGCCAGAGGGGTGCCTAAGGAACCCCAGAGCCACCCAGCCCTCCCCCTGCAGCAGCTGCTCGCCGCGTGCGGGGGGCCTAAGAATAGCCCCCCAGCCAAAGGGCAGACAGCAGCTGGGAGGGGGAGGGGCGTGGGTCAGGCTCCCGGGGCTGGGAAAAGCCAGGGTGCGAAGGGTCAGCTGGATGGCGCTGTGGCAGGGGCCGGGGACCCAGGCCGCGGTCCAGGGGAGGGGAAGGACCGGACAAGGAGCAGGTGGCAGGGGCAGAAACGGGACAGCGAGGCTTAGAAACGCGGCAGTGGGTAGAAAAACTCAGCCCCGTGACAGGGGAAGAGCTGGCGGTGGTGGCAAGGGGGCTGGAGTCTAAGAGCAGAGGAAAGAGGCAACAGGCGGCAGACAGGGTGGCAGTCAGAAACAAGGCGGCAGGCGGGAGAAATGTGGCGGCGAGAACAGCGAAGGAAGCATCCCCGGCGAGGCGCTCGCAGCAGGAAGAGAAGATGGTGGCGTCATGGCGGTCGAGGAGAGAAATGGGGCCGCAAACAAGCCCGCCCGCAGGTCCGAGTGATGGTTAGCAGGTGGGAAAACGGGCAGCAGGCTCAGGGGCTGGACTGCGAATTAGAAATAGAAAGCCCGGCCGAAGCCGGTGTAGCCCAGTGGATAGAGCATCAGCCTGCGGATTAAAAGGTCCCAGGTTCGATTCCAGTCAGGGGCATGTACGTTGGTTGGGGGCACATCCCCAGTGGCAGGCGTGCAGGAGGCAGCTGGTGGATGATTCTCTCTCCCATCAATGTTTCTAACTCTCTATCCCTCTCTCTTCCTCTCTGTAAAACATCAATAAAATATATTTTAAAAAAGAAAAAAGAAAAAAAGAAATAGAAAGCCCTGGCTGATTTGGCTCAGTGGATAGAGCATCTGCCTGCGGACTAGAGAGTCCTAGGTTCGATTCCGGTCAAGGGCACATGCCTGGGTTTTGAGCTCCATCCCCAGTGTGGGGTGTGCAGAAGGTGGCTGATCAATGATTCTCTCCTCACTGATGTTTGTCTCTCTGAAATCAGTAAAAAAAAAAAAAAAAAAAAAAAAGATTGTGGTGGGCCCTGGTTGGTTTGGCTCAGTCGGTTGGAGCATCATCCCCCGTACTGAAAGTTCGCTGGTTCGATTCCAGGTCAGGGCACATGGTTAGGTTGTGGGTTCAACCTGGTCAGTACACGTAGGGGAGGCAACCTATCAATGTAACTCTCTCACATCGATGTTTTGCTCGTGCTCTCTCTCGCCCCTTCTCCCTCTCTAAAATGAGCTGGTGTGGCTCCATGGTTTGAGCGTCGCCTATGAACCGTGGTTCGATTCCTGGCTGGGGCTCCATCCCAGTTGTGGGCTCGATCCCCAGTGTGGGGCGTGAGGGGGCAACCTATCAATGATTCCCCCTCATCATGGACGCTTCTGTCTCTCTCTGCCCCTCTCCCTTCCTCTCTGAAATCAATTTAAAACATTGTGGTGGGGCCGGGACCGGTTTGGCTCAGTGGATAGAGCGTCGGCCTGCGGACTGAAGGGTCCCGGGTTCGATTCCGGTCAAGGGCATGTACCTTGGTTGCGGGCACATCCCCAGTAGGGGGTGTGCAAGAGGCAGCTGGTCGATGTTTCTCTCATCGACGTTTCTAACTCTCTATCCCTCTCTCTTCCTCTCTGTGAAAAATCAATAAAATATATATTCAAAACAAAACAAAACAAAACAAAAACATTGTGGTGGGAATAACAGGCAGCGAATAGAGAAGGAAGGCAGCAGATGAGAAGTTAGCAGCAGATGCAGACACAGGGTGGGGAAACTGAGGCAGGAAGCCCAGACACCCCGCCTGCTGGTGGGAGAGGCACCGATGCTGTGCCCAGAGACTGTGTTCCGGGCTCCTAACCCTCCCTGCGGGTCTCGCCAGGTGTATTTTGGGCGCTGGCTGATCGAAGGGGGCCCCCTGGTGGTACTCCTGGACGTGGGCGCCTCGGCCTGGGCCCTGGAGCGCTGGAAGGGGGAGCTCTGGGACACGTGCAGCATCGGGGTGCCCTGGTACGACCGGGAGGCCAACGACGCCGTGCTCTTCGGCTTCCTCACCACCTGGTTCCTGGGTGAGGTAGGTCCCTCCGCCGGTCCCCATGCCACCCCTTTTGGCCCCAGGCCCCGAACTACAGTGACCACCAGCCCCTGTGCAGAAGGGTCTGGGTGGGGGACCCGGGTTCGATTCCGGTCAAGGGCATGTACCTTGGTTGCGGGCATATCCCCAGTAGGGGGTGTGCAAGAGGCAGCTGATCGATGACTCCCTCTCATCAATGTTTCTAACTCTCTATCTCTCTCCCTTCCTCTCTGTACAAAATCAATAAAATATATATTTTTTTTAAAAAAACACAAATAAAAACCTTAAAATGTAGTTATATGTTTCCTGGCAGTCAAACCAAAAACAAAACAAAACAAAACAAACAAACAAAAAAAACCCCAGAAGGGTCTGGGTGGGGACGGAGGGGAACTGGTTTCTTCCAGGGCATTCTAAGAGTTGTGGGTCCTGCCGAAACCGGTTTGGCTCTGTGATAGAGCGTCGATCTGCGGACTGAAAGGTCCCAGGTTCGATTCCGGTCAAGGGCATGTACGTGAGTTGTGGATCCTCCAGCCAAAGGATTAACTCTTATCTTTGGACACATGGATGTCCAAGGACTCAGACTCTCTTCCCTCCAGAACCCAAACTCGCAACCTCAGCCTTATTCACTCTGACCTCCCAAGTCTGGGAATTCTGAGCCATTAGTTCTTGGAGAGAGTGGCCTGGCTGGAGGGCTCGCTCAGGGAATTCTGGGAGTTGTAGTTCTCTAATCGGATAGAGGTTGGACTTGGCTCTCAGATGGGGCCCTGGATGTTTGGGAAAATGCCAGCCTATGTCTGAGCCAGGAACCTTGGTTCTGACCCCCCTTTTAGGTTTTGAAAGGGCTCAAGAAACTTCATAGCCCATGCCCTGCGGAGAACGATTTATGAACTGGCTGCTTCCGGGGCATTCTGGGAGTCGTAGTCCTTTCGCAGATAGGGAAGGCAGGGTCTATTCCTGATGGAGATCAAGGGTGTTCTAGGAATTGTGTCCAGAACTGGGGGGACACTAAGACTCGAGTCTTTCCAATCCAGCCCTGCTGGGGCTTAGAAGGCTGGCCCAAATCACCCCAGCTCCCGTCAGCCTCAAAAATGTGTAGTTTCTGGGCTTCTGGGGATTGCCGTGGGCGGCCATCCCCTCTGCCTCCTCCACCTCGGGGGTTGCTGATTGTGTCCCTGTCCCCGTTGCCCCGCAGTTCCTGGCCCAGAGCGAGGAGAAGCCGCACGTGGTCGCCCACTTCCACGAGTGGCTGGCCGGCGTGGGGCTCTGCCTGTGCCGGGCCCGGCGGCTGCCCGTGGCGACCATCTTCACCACCCACGCCACGCTGCTGGGGCGCTACCTGTGTGCGGGGGCCGTGGACTTCTACAACAACCTGGAGAACGTGAGCTCGGGGGCTGCCAGCGTGGCGGGACAGCCCAGCGCTGCCTGCAGAGTCCTGGGCAGTGGGCTCCCTCTGCCCACATCCCCAGAGATCCAGGCATCCAGCCTCCAGTCTCCCCCCAGGCCTCCAGAGTCTTCCACCCAATTATCCTAACCGGGGTGCCCTCCCTTCCCGCCCAGTTCAACGTGGACAAGGAAGCAGGTGACAGGCAGATCTATCACCGCTACTGCATGGAGCGGGCGGCCGCCCACTGCGCCCACGTCTTCGCCACCGTGTCTCAGATCACCGCCATCGAGGCCCAGCACCTCCTCAAGAGAAAACCGGGTAGGTGATGGGCTGGGGTCCCTACCCGTGAATGAGGCAGTCGGTCACCCAGGCCAAGGCCCGCACCCATTTCTGTTTGTTTACTGTAAAGAGCAGAGAACTACAACCCCCAAAAGGCCCTAGGTGGGTGACCTGGCTAGGTGGGTGACCTGTATACTCTAAAGGCTAATAGAAGGTGTTAATTTCAGAAATTATAAAATTCTTCTAGTGGCTAGCGTAGGCATTGGTCTTCTGAAAGGGGATGGAGGCTCTTTGGGTTTTTTTTTTTGTTTTTTTAAAAAAATATATTTTGTTGATTTTTTTACAGAGAGGAAGGGAGAGAGACAGAGAGCCAGAAACGTCGACGAGAGAGAAACATCGACCAGCTGCCTCTTGCACACCCCCTACCGGGGATGTGCCCACAACCAATGTACATGCCCTTGACCGGAATCGAACCTGGGACCTTTCAGTCCGCAGACCGACGCTCTATCCACTGAGCCACACCGGCTTCGGCTGGGTTTTGTTTTTGAGAAAAGCAGCATTAGAACCACTTCTTTTCCCCATCTATAGCATCAATTCTCAGTGGCTGTGAGGTGAGAACCACAGCGTCCAAAAGGTCTGTGGCTGCTCAGCTCCTTATGTTCCTAGAATTTCTTCCAGGGAGCTGATGGCGGTTGTGGTTTTTCAATGATGTGCTTTAATTTTTGTGAGAATAGAAAATGGCTGGGACCTTTAAAGAGGAAGGTATATTGTGGGAGAAGCAGGTTGGAGATGTGTGATCACTTCCAGCTCAGGGTAGTGGAGAGCAAACAAAAGAACCGCAGCTCCCAGGAACCCCAATGCAGACTGGTTCCCTGCCTGATTGGCCATCGGCAGAGGCTGATGGGAGTTGTACCCTGTTTCCCCGAAAATAAGACAGTGTCTTATATTAATTTTTGCTCCCAAAGATGCGCTAGGTCTTATTTTCAGGGGATGGCTTATTTTTCCATGAAGAAGAAGAATACGGTACACATTTATTGTTAAATGAAAATAAAGGAAATGTATTTCCTGTTTACGGTACGGTAGTACGGTAGTTGTGAACACAAACCAGATAAACTGTGAATCCTACAGGATCAAGAATTTACTCATTTATTCAACGACAATCATGTCATCATCTTCTGAGGAACATCATCCTAACAATCCAGTTCCTGAATTTCCTGTTGAATTTCTTGGGACTCCATTTCTTTCAGAATCAGTGGGCCAAATCTCTCATGTGTAGCCTGGGGGGGGGGGGGGGGGGCTTATTTTGGGGGGATGCCTTATATTTCACTCAGAAGGAAACCTGTAAGTAGGTCTTATTTTCGGGGAAACACGGTAGTTACTGGGCAAGAAGGCATCTGAGGGGCAGGGCAGCGGGGTCACGGAGGAGGAACTATTGACACGCAGCCATCACAGAAGCAAAGGGGTCTTTCCTTCGGTCATTCATTCGGCCACGTGGGTCTGAAGGAAGAAATGAAATTTGGGCCCTTCTCCCCGCCCCCAGATATCGTGACGCCCAACGGACTCAACGTGAAGAAGTTCTCCGCCATGCACGAGTTCCAGAACCTGCACGCGCAGAGCAAGGCGCGGATCCAGGAGTTTGTGCGGGGCCATTTCTACGGGTGCGTGGGCCAGGCCCCCAGGCCTCTGGCGAGGAGGGGCGGGGAGCTCAGCTTCTGGAGTTCCTGAGCGCGGAGAACGGTGGCTGAGCATCGGAGGGTCTGAGGTCCCCATCCAAGGAGGAAAGAACCACAAATCCCGGGAGTCCCCAGGGTGCCTCCGCGCTGCCTAGGATGTCCCTCGCCCCTGCCTCCTTCTGGGGTTTGTCGTCCTGAGGGCAGGGCGAGAGGGTGAGGGAGGGGGGTCGCGGCGTCACCCCGCCTTCTGGCTTCTTCAGGCACCTGGATTTCAACTTGGACAAGACGCTGTACTTCTTTATCGCCGGCCGCTACGAGTTCTCCAACAAGGGGGCCGACATCTTCCTGGAGGCCTTGGCCCGGCTCAACTATCTGCTCAGGGTGAGTCCTGGGCTGCGAGGGGCAGAGGGAGGACCGGGGAGACAGGAACAGAGACCCGGGGCGGGGGGGGGGGGGGGGACCCTCCGTGGGAAGCATAGAAACCCAGAGAGAAGGTGGGGTCGCAGGGGGCATGGTGACTCTTCCTATACTTTTTTTTTTTTTTAATATAAATTTATTGAGCCAAAGCCGATGTGGCTCAGTGGATAGAGCGTCGGTCTGCGAACTGAAAGGTCCCAGGTTCGATTTTGGTCAAGGGCATGCACCTTGGTTGAGGGCACATCCCCAGCAGGGGGTGTGCAAGAGGCAGCTGATGGTGTTTCTAATTCTCTATCCCTCTCTCTTCCTCTCTGTAAAAAAAATCAATAAATTAGAAAAAAAAATTTTTTTATTGATTTCAGAGAGGAAGGGAGAGGAGAAAGAGATAGAAACATCCATGATGAGAGAGAATCATTGATCAGCTGCCTCTTGCACGCCCCCTCCTGGGGATCAAGCTTGCCACTGGGCATGTGCCCTGGGTTGGAATCGAACCTGGGACTCTCCACTCTGCAGGCAAACGACACTCTATCCACTGAGCAGCCACCGCAGCCAGGGCTCGTCTTATACTTCTTTTCTTTCTAAATATTTTTTATTGATTTCAGAGAGGAGGGGAGAGGGGGAGGGAGAGAGACATCCATGATGAGAGAGAATCATCGATCGGCTGCCTTCCACTGGGGATCGAGCCCGCAACCTGGGCAGGTGCCCTGAGCGGGAATCGAACCGTGGCCTCCTGGTTCCTAGGTCAGTGCCTAACCATTGAGCAACACCGGCCGGGCTGTCCAGTACATCTTCTGGACAGCAAGGGGCATGGCAGGGTCCGAGCCGTCTCAGAGGGTGGGGAAGGGGGCGTGGCTTCAGCCCCCTCCCATGGGATCTCACACCCCGCCCCTTCCGGTGCCGCAGGTGAACAACAGCGAGCAGACGGTGGTCGCCTTCTTCATCATGCCGGCGCGGACCAACAACTTCAACGTGGAGACCCTCAAGGGCCAGGCCGTGCGCAAGCAGCTCTGGTCAGCAGCCCCCGGCCCGGGACCCCGGCTGTGTGCTTGGGGCCCGGGGTTCCTCCTGGCACCTCGCTTTTGTCCCCTGTAACACGGTCCCACCCGCCCCACCGGCTTCCCCACGGGCCCGCCTGCTCAAGACCCCCCCGCTGGGGGCCGGTGAGAAGTCGCAGGCGGGACAGAGGCACCAGGGTCCTGATATCAAACCAGGGGGGCTAGCGCACGCCGCTTGCTGGCTTCAGGCAAGAACCACGACCCCTCTCTGAGCCTCAGTTTCCTCATTTTTTGTGTTTGTTTTTTTTTTTAAAAAACATTTCTTTATTGATTTCAGAGAGGAAGGGAGAGGGATAGAGAGAATCATGGATCGGCTGCCTTCCGCACGCCGCCCCCACTGGGGATTGAACCCACAACCTGGGCACGTGCCCTTGGCCGGAATCGAACCTGGGACCCTTCCGTCTGTAGGCGGAGGCTCTATCCACTGAGCCACACCATCCGGGACAGTTTCCTCGTTTGCAAAACCCACGCATGAGCCATCCTCTGTTCAGTGAACACTGTTCCAGGTCCTGGGGACACGGCTGTGAACAGAAAAGACAAAAATCCCTGCTCTCCCTGAGCTCTCTTTCTAGAAAATTCTATAGAAAGCGCTCTTGTGGGGGAGGGGCGGGAGTGAGAAGCAGCACAGGAACGTGAGACAGGGTGGTCAGGACAGGCCACTCGGCGAGAGAGCCATGGGGTGGAGACCCATAGGGGAAACGAGGGAGGAAGCCCTGTGTGTGTCTGGGGACCAGCAACGGGAAGAGGCAGTGCAAAGGTCCTGGGGTCCGTGGGAGGCGCAGCGAGGAGGCCAGTGGGGCTGGAGCGTCGGCCATGAGGCCAGAGCCAGGGGAAGACGAGGAGCCGAGGGGTGTCCGCAGGCTGGAGGCGGCCCTGGATGCCAGCCTTGTTTGTGTACCTACATTTTATCCTGCCCACATAACCTTCCCTTTTTATAAAACGGGGCCCGGCCCGGCTACCACCGGGGCCAGGGCAGGCGCTAAGAATAGCTGACATTTCTGGAAGGCGCGCCGTGTGCTGGGCACTGTGTACTTTTAGCCGTGACCTCATCGAGGCCTCCCTGCAAACCTCTGAGGCTGGTTCTATTTTTATCTCCCTCGGACCAGACCAGCCACGGGAGCCAGAGAGGGAAGGCCCCCCATCCCTGGGCACACAGCTGATGGGGGCGCCAGGGATCCGAGCCTCCGGGGGCCTGTGCGCTGGGTCCCCGCCCTCCAGCCGGAGTCCCCGGGGCTGCTCTGCTCAGGCCTCAGTTTCATGGCTGCCCCAGAAACCTCACAATCAATGGCGGGTGTGCATGTGATTCTTTTTTTTTTAATTAAAAAAAAATATATATATATATAATTGATTTTTTAAAAAATTTTAAAAAATATATCGTATTGATTTTTTACAGAGAGAAAGAGAGAGGAATAGAGAGTCAGAAACATCGATGAGAGAGAAACACCAATCAGCTGCCTCTTGCACACCCCCCACCGGGGATGTGCCCGCAACCAAGGTACATGCCCTTGACTGGAATCGAACCCAGGACCTTTCAGTCTGCAAGCTGACGCTCTATCCACTGAGCCAAACCGGATTCGGCTTAAATATATTTTATTGACTTTTCACAGAGAGGAAAGGAGAGAGATAGAGAGTTAGAAACATTGATGAGAGAGAATCATCGATCAGCTGCCTCTTGCACACCCCGTATTGGGGATGTGCCTGCAACCCAGGTACATGCCCTTGACCAGAATCGAACCCAGGACCTTTCAGTCTGCAAGCTGACGCTCTATCCACTGAGCCAAACCGGTTTCGGCGTACACGTGATCTTGTTCTGCTCTTTCCAGGGATACGGCCAACACGGTGAAGGAGAAATTCGGCAGGAAGCTTTACGAATCCCTGCTGGTGTGAGTGCGCCCCCACCCCTCAGCCCTGCAAGGCCCTGGGTCCTCGCCCCTCTCCTCACCCCTCCTCAGATGCACATCCCCGTTCGCCCTGCAGGGGGAGCCTCCCGGACATGAACAAGATGCTGGACAAGGAGGACTTCACCATGATGAAGAGAGCCATCTTCGCCACGCAGGTACTGGGACCCCTGAGCAGAGGCATGGCAGGCCCCGTCAGCCCCAGAGGCAGCTGGCCACGTTAGTTCTGACCCCAGAGAAGGCTGGGAGTTCTGAGGTTCGGAAATGGGTGTGAGCCGACTGGCAGAACTTCATTTCCCAGAAGCCCTTAAGGCAGCCTGCTTTCCCCTGACAGCAGTGGTCGGCAAACTGCAGCTCCTGAGCCCCATGCGGCTCTTTGGCCCCTTGAGTGTGGCTCTTCCACAAAATTAGGAGTACCCTAATTACGGTAATAGCAACGTACCTACCTATTTAGTTTAACTTTAAAAAATTTGGCTCTCTGGCCGAAACCAGTTTGGCTCAGTGGATAGAGCGATGGCCTGCAGACCGAAAGGTCCCAGGTTCGATTCCGGTCAACGGCATGTACCTTGGTTGCGGGCACAACCCCAGTAGGGGGTGTGCAAGAGGCAGCTGATGGATGATTCTCTTTCATCCATGTTTCTGACTCTCTGTCCCTCTCTCTTCCTCTCTGTGAAAAATTGATAAAATATATATTTTTTAAAATGTGAATACCGTTAAAAAGAAATGTGGCTCTCAAAAGAAATCTCAATCGTTGTACTGTTGATGAATGAGTTTGCCATCCACTGCCCTAATGTATTTTGCCACAGGAGGCTGTTGGGAGTTGTAGTTTCTTTGCATCCCCATGGTCAGTGGACAGGAGGTGAAGGCGGGAACTTAAGCCAAGGGAGTTACGAAAGGAGAACCCCCACTCTCACATGTCCTTGCCGCTGGCAGCTCCACCTCAGTCCCCAGAGACTGCTAGGAGCGGTAGCTTTGTTGGCCTCTTGAGGGATGGTCAGGAGGCCAGCGAAAGCACCTACAATTCTCTGAAGACTCCCGAACCTGTCAGACGCCCAGTGAAAACTACGATTCCCAGCAGCCCGTGGGTCGTTCTGCCACATAGATGCTTCCCTGGCCCCCGAGACTTCTGAGCGTCAGAGTTCTTATATTCTCTGGCGTCAGGGGTCTCTGGCGCTTGTGGTCGGGGTGGGCGCATCCTTTCCTGGGGAATGGAAACCTCAACAGTCAAGCAACACAAACAAGGGAAGAATTGGTTTTGGCCAAACTAACCTGCAATAGTCCCTAAGGCGGTTGGTCTCAGTGAGCCTGTTTCTTCCTGGGGGCTGCTGGGAGTTGTAGTTTCTTGGCTTGCTGGTGTCCGTAGCCTGAAGGTGTGTAGAACACTTAATGAGAATATTTGCAAAAACGGACTATCCCAGCAGCACCTTGGTCTCTATATGTCCTCCTCCAGTGGGGAACTGAAGAATTCAGGGGGAATACCCCTCTTGGGAATTGTGGTTTCTTTCTTTCTTTTTTTCTTTTTAATTGATTTAATTGGGAGGGAGGGAGAGGGAGAGAGAGATAGAAACGTCAGTGATGAGAAGGAATCATTGATCGGCTGCCTCCTGCACGTCCCCCACTGTGGATCGAGGGCCCCAGCCTAGGCCTGTGCCCGGGACTGGACTCGATCCGGGGACTCTTTAGTCCATAGGCCAATGCTCTATCCACTGAGCCAAACCAGCTAGGGCGTGAATTGTGGTTTCTTTGGACTTCTGTGGGGGGTGGAAGTGGAGGGAGAGTAAAGGGACTTGGAGAGAAAGAAATCTAGGATTTTCATAAGAAAACTGCCACTTCCAGCAGCCCCCGGAGCTTGGCAGTCTCTGCTCCCCTCCCAGAGTCCACTGGGGGACATGACTTTTTTTTGATTTTTTAAAAAAATATATTTTATTGATTATATACAGAGAGGAAGGGAGAAAGATAGAGGGTTAGAAACATCGATGAGAGAGAGTCATCAATCAGCTGCCTCTTGCACACCTCCTAATGGGAATATGCCCGCAACCAAGGTACATGCCCTTGACCGGAATCGAACCTGGGACCCTTCAGTCTGCAGGCCGACGCTCTATCCATTGAGCCAAACCGGTCTCGGCTCTTTGAATTCTTTTGATGATAGAGCCAAGGATACAGAACACAACAGCTACCACTCCCTGTGGTCCCTGGGGCTTGTTAACGCTGGCTCTGCCTCCAAGACAGCTGGGAAGTGTAGTCTATTTTTAGCTTATGATGGTTAAAGGGAAAAAAAGAACCTTTACAGATAGAGCCACGGAGGAAGTCTATCTATATAACTCCTGGTGATCTCTTGGGCTTGTTGCCCCACAGCCTGATGGGAGTTGTAGTCTCTTTGGATTCCCAAGTTCAGCATGTCCCTTCCCTGACCCCCACCCCACGTGTGACCCCTACAGCGGCAATCTTTCCCCCCTGTGTGCACCCACAACATGCTGGACGACTCCTCAGACCCTATCCTGACCACCATTCGCCGAATTGGCCTCTTCAACAGCAGCGCGGACAGGGTCAAGGTGAGGTCACGGGTCAGGGTGGGTTGGGCATGGCAGGAGGGTGGGGGGCGTGGGGGCCTCACATTCCCCATCTCACCTAATTTATCAAATTTATTATTTTTTAAAAATTTCTTTATTGATTAAGGTATCACATATTTGTCCTCATCCCCCCACCCCCATGTCCATCCCAACCCCCCCCCCCCCACGCATACCCCTACTCCCCTGTTGTCCGTGACCACTGGTTAGGCTCATATGCATGCACACAAGCCCTTTGGTTGATCTCTCCCTCTTATACCGCCCCCCCCCCCACCCCCGGCCCTTCCCTCTGACATTTGACAGTTTGATGCTTCCCTGTCTCCGGGTCTGTTTTTGTTCATCAGTTTATATTGTTCATCATTTCCTCTGGATGAGTGAGCTCATGCGATACAATAAATACACTTATAAGAACCGAAAATGAGACAGGCAATAATGGTTAGGCTGAGAGGCAAATGAATCAGTCTGTAGTGAGTTTCTTTTGAGTCCCAAAAAGTTCTTTTGAGTCCCAATGTCAATGTCAAACAGCTCCTTATGTGCACGTGTCAGCCATGATATTTCAGTTCTGGATGGCGGACAAATGGTGGTAATGCAGGTCCGGCCCTTTCTGGTTTGGTCCCGGGCAACCTGCAGCGACGCACATCTGCTGACTGCTAGCATGGCGAGGCATCGCCAGCGTCTTCCATCTCCGGACTGCTTCTTCTGTCCTCATGGCTGGAGCGGTCCTGTCAGTTCCTCTGCTGCAGGAATCCACATGGTCCTGGAGTTTTCTGAAACCTATCCAAGGACTTCTGTGTCTAGAAAGAACCTTAGCTTTGGGAGCCGGCAGACTGGGATTCAGATCTTTGTCCTGCCCCTGACGTAGGGGACCCCAGACAAAACGTTCACTCCACGCTGGAACCCCAGACCAAGCGGGGGCCTCGGCTGAGTCCTGCTTATTTTCTCGCTGCCAGGTTATCTTCCACCCGGAGTTCCTGTCCTCCACGAGCCCCCTGCTGCCCGTGGACTATGAGGAGTTTGTCCGTGGCTGCCACCTGGGTGTCTTCCCCTCCTACTATGAGCCTTGGGGCTACACGCCGGGTGAGTCAGCATGGCACTTGGGGTCTGGCACGGTCCTGGGACAGGGCACGCGCCCTCCCTGAGCCCCAAGTTCCTCCTTTGCAAAACCAGGGCAACGGGAACAGCCTGTTCTGCTACAGCATGCGTCTGGGACACTGGGGTTCATGTGATGGGGAACTGGAGGACTGATGTCCACAGCGCACATGTGACTCCCCCAGTTTGCTGACATTAGCCCCCCACCCAGTCCCCTAATAACAGCTGCTTAATGCACATTCCACTAACACAGCTGCATGTGGTACGGTCTCCCTGAGCGGTCCCCAGCACCCGTCCCCTCCACCTTCCTCCTGTTGGCTCCTTTTAAAAAGTATATTTTATTGATTTTAGAGAGGAAGGGAGAGGGAGAGACAGAAACATCAATGATGAGAGAGAATCCTTGATTGGCTGCCTCTTGCATGACCCCTACTGGGGATGGAGCCTGCAACCCAGGCATGTGCCCTTGGCCGGAACCAAACCTGGAATCTTTCAGTCTGCAGGCTGATAGCTCTATCCATTGAGCCACACCAGCTCCTTTTAAATACGGGCTCCAAGTTGGAACAGCTTCTTTGCAATTCTCTCTCATTTTTGGCTCTTCTGCTGTGATATTCCCCAAGTTCAACCCTCCTCACACGCTTTGCAACCCAACTACTTTCATATGTTTTTAAGGCTAAATAAATACCACATTTGCTGTAGTCTTTCTTCATTTTGAGTAATTAAAAACATTTTTAGTTGGCACCGGTTTGGCTCAGTGGATAGAGCGTCAGCCTATGGACTGAAGGGTCCCGGGTTCGATTCCGGTTAAGGGCATGTGCCTTGGTTGCGGGCACATCCCCAGTAGGGGGTGTGCAAGAGGCAGCTGGTCAATGATTCTCTCTCATCGACATTTCTAACTCTCTATCCCTCTCTCTTCCTTGCTGAAAAATCAATATAAAATATAAAAAAGAAAAAGAATAAAAAAAAACATTTTTAATCCTACTCGAGGATATGTTTTTATTGATGTGAGAGAAAGAGAGGAAGACTGAGAGAAACATCGATGGTTGCCTCTCATATGAATCCCAATTGAGGATCGGACCCACAACCTGGGTATATGTGTCCTGACTGGGAATCGAACCCGCCACCTTTTGGTGTAAGGGAAGATGTTCCAACCAACTGAGCAACACAGGCTGGGGCGATTTGGGAGTAACGCAATAAGTCTTTTGAACTCTGCTTGCATGAGAATGAGGAATTTTGCTCAATTTATTTTTTTTTTCATCCATGGTGAAAACAGTGCATAGGTTTTGTGTGGTCAGCCCCTACCCTGTTTTCCCCATAAGTCCTGTTATATGTACTGTCTGCTTTCTGTAGCTTACAAAAGCTTTTAGAGACATTACATAAGAATTAATAAACTGCCGAAACCGGTTTGGCTCAGTGGATAGAGCGTCGACTGAAAGGTCCCGGGTTCGATTCCAGTCAAGGGCATGTACATTGGTTGCCGGCACATCCCCAGTGGGGGGTGTGCAGAAGGCAGCTGATCAATACATCTCTCTCATCGATGTTTCTAGCTCTCTATCCCTCTCCCTTCCTCTCTGTGAAAAATCAATAAAAAAAAAAAAATATATATATATATATATATATGTAAAGAATTAGTAAACTCCTTGATCCGCCTCTTAGCGCTCTTTAAGGCGGTAAACAAAGCCTAATACTTACTCTGTACACAGCCATAGTAATGAGGAGGGACCTTTTCTTATCTCCTGTGTAAACAGACCTTGACGCTGTGATGACGGGCTGGCGTAAGAAAGTTCCCTCCAGGTGGTGAGGATTAGGGAGAATGGACATTTGGCCCAGAACTCAATAAATTAGCATCCTTCCAGACACCTCTAGACTTTTCCTTCTTCTGAATTCCTTTCTCTGAGCCTCTCAGCCTTCCCTCTAAGAAGTAGGGACAGCTCTGGCTGGTTTGGCTCAGTGGATAGAGTGTCGGCCTACAGACTGAAGGGTCCCAGGCTCGATTCTTATCAAGGGCACATGCCCGGGTTGCGGACTTGATCCCCAGTGGAGGGCATGCAGGAGGCAGCCAATCCAGGATTCTCTCACATCACTGATGTTTCTGTCTCTCTCTCTCTTCCTCTCTAAAATCAATAAAAACATATTAAAAAAAAAAAAAAGAAGAAATAAGGACAGTAAGTATTATATGCTGAGAGGGTTTTGCCCCGGGAAATAAGCCAGTCAGAGAAAGACAAATATCACGTGATCTTACTTATACGTGGAATCTCATGAACATAATAACTGATGCTCAGTCATGCTCCGCTTGCATTTTCCGGCTCCTGACTTGCTCAGTTCAGTGCCCGGCCTGTGGTCCAGGCGCCAGTAGAGGGCGCTGTTGAGGCTTTTGTGGAGATTTCAGCCGGTTCCCAGGGGAAAGCTAAGTGGGCCTTTTCTCCCCCGCCTTCCGCAGCCGAGTGCACGGTGATGGGCATCCCCAGCATCTCCACCAACCTCTCCGGCTTCGGCTGCTTCATGGAGGAGCACATCGCAGACCCCTCGGCGTACGGTCAGCGCCCCGGCTGAGGACCGGGACCCCGGGGCCCTGGGGAGGAGGGGTCCTGGTGTCGCCTGTTTTCTGAGTCCCCCATCCTGTCCCCCCCCCCCCCCCCTCTAGGCATCTACATTCTGGACCGGCGGTTCCGCAGCCTGGACGACTCCTGCTCGCAGCTCACCTCCTTCCTCTACAGCTTCTGCCAGCAGAGCCGGCGGCAGCGCATCATCCAGCGGAACCGCACCGAGCGCCTCTCCGACCTGCTGGACTGGAAATACTTGGGCCGGGTATGGCCTGACTCCCTCTCCTGCCCCCCTGGCCTTCCCGCTCTGGGTCTCCCGCTCTTCAGTCTCAAGGGGACAGATGGCTCCTCCTCCTTGTAAAGGTTGCTGCCCCTTTAAGAAATTAGTCCACTCCTGCGGGGGGTGGCGGGGACCACGTGGGCCCAAAGTTCTGCTATTTGCATAACTGCGGCCAGGCTGTCCAATCACAGCTCTGCTATCTACATGAGGGGCGGAGCCTGAAAATGGATAATAATTGGCTCAGGCAACTATTTTCAACCTGTCTCCGCGCATGGCACACAGAAACTAATCAGCAAATTCTTCGGCCCATCAAAAAATATACATATTCTTGCTGACCTGACAAACAGATATAATTATGATTCATTCACACCCGATGGCTATTGTGTTTGTGCTGTCATTTTTTTTTTTTTTTTTTTAAATTTGACAATCTAAAAGAGGTCAGTGCCCTTGGCCAATCTCTTTTACAGTCAGGAATTGCATGTTTGTTATATATATATATATATATATATATATATATATATATATATATATATATATAATTTTTTTAATATATTTTATTGATTTTCTTCAGAGAAGAAGGGAGAGGGATAGAGAGTTAGAAACATCGTTGAGAGAGAAACATCAATCAGCTGCCTCCTGCACATCCCCCACTGGGGATGTGCCCACAACCAAGGTACATGCCCTTGACCGGAATCAAACCTGGGACCCTTCAGTCCGCAGGCTGACGCTCTATCCACTGAGCCAAACCAGTTAGGGCTTAAATATATTTGTATTGATTCAGAGTGGGAGGGAGAGGGAGAGAGAATCATTGACCGGCTGCCTCCTGCACACCCACTCCCGGGGATCGAGTGGCAAACCCAGCATGTGCCCTTGAACCGGAATGGAACCTGGGACCCCTCAGTCTGCAGGCCGACGCTCTATCCACTGAGCCAAACCGGCCAGGGCAGGCATTGCATGTTTTAAAAACTGCACACCCGTTACATGTGGCCGGCTTAGCGGTCCAGTGGAGGCTGCAGTGCGCTCACCTGCATAAAAGGTGGGGCTCGAGGGGGCGGGTCACCCTCTCCCACACCTGCCCGGGTCTTCTGCCCCCTGATGCCCCCTCCTTCTTTCCCGGAAGTACTACATGTCTGCGCGCCACATGGCGCTGGCCAAGGCCTTCCCGGAGCACTTCACCTACGAGCCCCACGAGGCGGACACGGTGAGTTGGTGGGGCCCCTCTAGTGGGCCGGGGTCCCCAGGGGCTGGAGGGCGGGGCTGGGGGCCGAGAGCTCTCTCCTGGACCCGAAGGCCTGGGGGTTGGGGGCTGGGGGCCCGGCTGCACCAGGCACCCCCCCTCACCTGCCCTTTGGCTCACCTGCGCGCGCAGACCCAGGGCTACCGCTACCCGCGGCCCGCCTCCGTGCCGCCGTCCCCCTCGCTGTCCCGGCACTCGAGCCCGCACCTGAGCGAGGACGAGGAGGACCCGCAGGACCAGCTGCCCAACGAGGAGGGCGACGGCGAGCGCTACGACGAGGAGAGGGAGGCCGCCAAGGACCGGCGCAACATCCGCGCGCCCGAGTGGCCGCGCCGCGCCAACTGCGCCTCCGGCGGCGGCGGCAAGCGCAACTCGGTGGACACGGCGCCGTCCAGCTCGGCCAGCAGCCCCAGCGAGCCGCTCAGCCCCGCCAGCTCCCTGGGCGAGGAGCGCAACTGAGCCCCATCCGCCCCAGCGCCCGCCTGCGCGCCCCCCTCCCCGGTCCCCAGGCGCGGAGGACGCAGAGCACGACGGGCGCTGCTCCCAAACCCACTCCAGACCCCGGACCTGCCGGGGGGCCCACAGCCCCCTGCCCCCCTCCACCGTCCACTCCAGCCCCCAGCTCTGCCCTGGACCCCCCTCCCCACACTCCAGTCCCCCAGCTCTGCCCTGGACCCCCCTTCCCCACACTGCAGCCCCCCCAGCCTGCCCTGGAACCCCCCACACTGCAGCCCCCCTAGCTCTGCCCTGGAACCCCCCACACTCCAACCCCCCCAGCCTGCCCTGGACCCCCTCCCCACACTCCAGTCCCCCCAGCCTGCCCTGGACCCCCTCCTCACACTCCAGTCCCCCCAGCCTGCCCTGGACCCCCTCCCCACACTCCAGAATCTGCCACGCCGTGCCTTTCCCGTTCCGCAATGTGAAATCTGTGCCCTCGCCGCTCGCGGTCCGGCCCGGCCCACAGGCTTCCAGGAACCTGCCGATGCCCGGCACGGCGCCAGGGCTTTTAGGGAACCTGGCCTCTCGCCTAACGGGCCGCGGCTCCCAGAACACTCCGTGGCCTGCAAACCCTGCAGCCCGCAGTGCCCCCGCCACAGGGACAGGCCAGCCCAGGCCGGACGCTTCCACGGACTTGAGTTCACCGCACGCAGAAGGTCTTCCATTTCAGCTCCAGAACGCGGGCTCCTGGGCTCTGGCCCTCCCTGTGGGGCCGGGTTCTGCCCGGAGGAACCCCTCCACCCCTCGCCCCCCCTCTTCCTCTACACTTCAGCCGAGCAAGGCGGGGGGGGGGGGGGGTGTCAGAACTTCTTGGCTCTCGGCGCCACTGGAGAGCGTGCAGTATTGGTCTGGATGCCTTGCTGGCCTTTTCTAGACCAGACCCTGCTCCATGTCTGAGTCTGGGTTCTCTCCGCCACCCCCATGCCCCCATTTCAAGACTCTGGGCCCGCCAGGGAGGGCCCCCCCCCCCCTGCCAGGCCCACGTGAAACCACTGGGTTCTGGGTCCCGGCTGCTGAGTGAACCTCACCACTGTGCCGCGCCCGGCCTGGGACCGAGCCCGCTGGGCTTCTAGGACTTCCCTCCTTTTGTTTTTGTTTACCTCAAGGCTCTCCTGCCCCCAGCTTCCGTGAAGGGGGTGCCCATGTGCTGCGCTGTGCCCCATGCACCTGCTTGCCCTCGGGAGTGGGGGCAGAAGGGGAATGACTGAAGTGTGTGTGGCGATGAAAAAAAAAAAAAATACAAGTATATTTAAGAACCCCAGGTCTGGTCCGACACGAGGTTTTGGTGGGCCTCTCGCCTGGCCTCTACCCTCTCTCTCTTCCCTCCCTCCTTTATCCCCTCTTCTCCCCCCACTCAGACCCAGGTCCCCAATTCCTTGTGTCATTCTGCTCTCGCAGAGACTTGGATTGCTGTTGTGGATTCCAGTGTTCTTTCAAGAGAAGGCACTCTGTCTTGTTTCAGTTGGGACCTAACTTGCCAGTAGCAAAAACCTGGGGTCAAGCTCTCTCTCTCTCTCTTTTTTAAATATTTTTATTGATTTTTTTACAGAGAGGAAGAGAGAGGGATGGAGAGTTAGAATCACCAATGAGAGAGAATCATCCATCAGCTTCCTCTTGCACACCCCCTACTGAGGATGTGCCCGCAACCGAGATACATGCCCTTGATCGGAATCGAACCCGGGACCTTTCAGTCCGCAGGCCGATGCTCTATCCACTGAGCCAAACTGGTTTCAGCTGGGTCAAGCTCTCTCTGACAGAAAGGGGCTTTGTCGCTGGAAATGGATCTACGTGGAACCCAGGAGCCGTGTGTAGCTCTTGAAATCCCTCGGCACCAGCAGTGAATGCTCCGTAGCCTCAGGCGGCCACGTGTGGCTCGTGGGGCGACCTGCTGGGCGGTGGGTGCAGCTTTAGAGTTTCTCACTGCCGGACAGTGCTTGCCGAGGGCACGTGGCCAGGGCGCTGTGGCCTTTGGCCTTGGACCGGGCTGTCCCCTGCAGAGTTCTATTTTCAGGAAAAATATTTGTTCTTTCGGCGCCGGTCTTCACCGGGTCATAGTACACCTGGCACCAGGGGAGTCCGTAGCTCCGATGTTTGGGTTTGGATGTGCTCATCCTTCCGGTTAGCCGCGGTGTCTGTGACACACACAAGCCCCTCCCTCCCTCCCTCCCTCCCTCCTCCACCAGGATCGCCAGTCATGGTCAAAGTGGGGTGACAAAGCAGGAACGGGGTGCTGAGTGGACAAAAAAACAGGTGTCCAGCAGCCACTTCCTCTTAGGTTCCTTCTAACCCAGAACAGGGAAGGGCAGGGGTCACTGTGCAACTGGGACTCAGCGTCTTCAGTTCCCGTTCCGATGACTTGGGCCCGTCTCACTTCCCAGTTTCCGTGCCGTCCCCCCTGACTCCCATTCCTGAGCCAGTGGCTCGTGCTTATCATGTGCCCCAGCCCTGACTCACCTGTCCCCCATCACCAGCCTCCAGCAGGTCAGGTCCGGGTGCGCCTCCCGGTTGCCACGGGCTAGTTACATACTAATATCCTCCATTCACCCGTATAAAGGGGCTGGCAATTCTAGACACCTCCCCCCCGCCCCCCATAGAGCCAGCACTTGGCTGCTCAAAGGCGATGGTTTCTGACATTCCTGAGTGTCCGCTCCCACCACCAGCCCCGCCCTGGAGTCTGGGCTCCGCCCTGGAGGTGGGGCGGCGAGTCTGACAGAGCAGAGAACCGCTACAGCAACACCTACAGGTGGCAGGTGAGAACCGGTCCTCCCTCCTCCTCGCCCGCCCAGCACCGTTAGCTGGGCGAAAACAGACCCCGCCTCCCTCCCCACAGCACGCACACGCCACCACCAACTGCTGCAAAAAGCTTTATTGTTTCATTTGGTCCAGTGCGGGGGAGAGGGCTCCAGGGTGGATGAAAGAATGGCTAGTAGTTTCGGGAAGAGGCTCAGGCAAAAGCCAGAGACAGAGGGGGGGGCGGGGACCTCTGAAAGGTTTCTGGGCTCAAAGGCTCCTAGTCGTCGTGCTTGAGGGTGAGCCTTTCGAAGAGATACTCGCCCAGCCCGGCCTGCGGGCCGGCCAGCCTGCGGATGTTGGTCAGGTGGTCGCCCATCTTCTTGATCAGTTTCACCTCCTCGTCCAGGAAGTGGTTCTCCAGGAAGTCGCAGACCTAAGTGGTAGGAGGAGGAGAGACAATGTCGCCACTTGTTGATAAAACAGTGGACAGTCGGAGAACAGCATTCACAGGGAAATTTGCCCAAGCGAGGAGGCCGAGGCTTGGGATAGAAGCTTCACTGCAGGGCAGGCCTGGGGAAGGGCAGATCCGGATAAAGGGAGTGATAAAGGGGGTGCTTACGTGAGGGTCTGCGCGGGAAGAAGCCAGAGCGTGCAGCTCCAGAAGGGCCTGGTTCAGGCTCTTCTCCAAGGCCAGGGCGGATTCCATGGCGTCCAGAGTTTTGGACCAGTCATCCTGGGGCGGTTTCTACACAAGACAAAAGGCTCAGAATTGGCTCCATAACCCCGCAAAGGACTAAAAACTATATCCCTCAACATTTTTTTTGTGGGGGGTGGGGGGAAGGGCAGACGGTAGTAATGGGTCTAGCCTAAGAGACGTCTATCACCCCACCCCCACCTACAACTACACATCCCAGGAGCCCACACAGCCCCTAACGGTGGGGGGCGAAGGCACGCCGCGCGCAGGGACTGCTGGGAGTTGTAGTCCACAGGCCCGCACACTGTTTTACCTGCACGTCCTGGTAGAGAACGCGGCCGCCTCGCTGGTTCTGCAACTTGAGCAGACGCTCCGCGCCCTCCCGCTTCTTCTCCGCCAACTCGCGGAAGAAGTGGCCCACGCCCTCCAGGGCCACATCGTCGCGGTCGAAATAGTAGCCCTGCGGGGAGAGATGGCGGGAACGGTGGTTGGTTAGCGGGAGGCGAGGCCGGGCCGGGCTGCAGACTCCGCCCTCCGCCCGCAGAACAAAGAGGCCCCCGCGGGCGGGCGGGCGGAGCGCCGGGAGTGCGCAGTTTGGGGGGGAACCTGGGCCAGGCGTGTCCCGGGACCCTTACCAGCCCGAGGTAGTTGTAGGAGGCCTTCAGGTACAGGTTGATGAGGCGGTTGACCGAAGCCTCCACGTCGGCGGAATAATTCTGACGAATTTGGGAGCTCATGGTCGTTCAGGAATGAGGCTTTCAGGTAGAAAAAAAAAACCAAAACAACCAAAAAACCGGTGTGTCGGCTGGTCCCGGAGGTGGCGCTGGCGCTGGTGACTGGATGAGGCGCAGGAGAGTGGCCGGAGGCGGGAAGAACGGCGTCCCTGGGTCTGTTCCGTCCAAACACTGTTGAAGCAAGAGACAGATCCGGGACCTCCGAGTGCGCTGCTGCCAGAGGCCCGGCCGCGCAGCTCCTTTTATAGGCCCGGGGGCCCGGAGGGGGGCTTCCAGGGGCGAGCTATGGGCCAATCCGCGGTGGCGGTGGGCGGGGCCTGGAGCCTGGAGTGGCCAATCCGGAGCAGAGAGGAGTCCCAGCCGCCGCCTGGGGCAGTCAGTCACGCGCCTGTTGCTCGAGGCTGTTGTGAAATGGGCACTGGGAGGGGCGGGCTGGGAGGGGGGATGCAGGGTCTGGGGCTGATTCGGGGTAGTCCCGGGGTTCTGGGGTCTCTAGAAGGGGTTCTGGGGTCTCGGGAGATTCGTGGAACCCTGGGAACCCTGAAGCAGGGTCCTGTGGTCCTGGGGGTGCCTCAGGAAAGTAGGTTGAGTTCTGGGGTTCTCTGGGCGCGCGGGCTTTTCTGGAAGCCTGGGGGGTGCAGAGGCCCCCGAATGACTTGGGGTCTTGCTTGGGAGCTGAGGGTTCCCCAGATCGCTGGGACGTTTGGAAGGTCGTGAGATGGTGTTTCTGGGACCTTGGGGATCTCTCTGGAAGAGGGGTTGGAGGGAAGCCCTGGGGTTTGCTCGAAGGTGGGGTTACTTTAAAGAAAAATTTTTTTTTAATTTTTTGCCTTAATGTTCACAATGGAAGACCTGTTTTTCTGGAAACGTCCTGGAGTCGTTAGGCCCTTGAGGCGAGCTGCAAGCTCCAAAGAGCAGGGGTTCTAGGCCTTGGTGTGCCTCGGGGGTTGGGGGAGAGGGGTGCTTGTGGCAGCCTACATAGTAGTAGGTTGGGTTTTTGGTTTGTTTTTTAAGGAGTCCTTGAGAGTGAGCCAGGGAGCCCTGGAATGCCCCGGGCCTGTCAGAGGTCCACTGTTTTTGGGAGCTGAGATGGGGCGGGGGTCCCCAAGGGGACCCGCTGGGGTGCCCTCTGGCCCTGACGCCGTCGGAGGGCGCCCCTGCCTCGCCTCCCACGTGCTCTCCCCCCCCCCCCCGCCCCAAAGGGGAGCCCGGTCCGGGGGGCCTGCGGATGGATGCCTGTCTCCGGCCGAAGTGCGTGTTTACGCGGTGCCGGGCCAGGCTGGGGTCTGGGAGGCGGGGCGGCCGCACAGCAGGACGGGCCTCCAGGGAGAGCCCTGATGTGGGGGAAAGGGCAGGCCCGGACCCCGTGCCCGTGCCCTCGGGGCGGCGGCCACACCCGCTACCCCCACGTCGGGGCCGTTTGCAGCGGCGCCGCAGGAGCAGCCGGGGCAGGGCGCCCCGGGCCCGGGAGGGGGCCGGCCGGAGTCGGGGTCCCGCGGGGTGCGGGCCGCGGCCAGAGCGGCGGTGCTGAGTCACGCTGAGCTCAGCGCAGGAAGGGGCGCGGGGGGAGGGCGGGGGCCCGCTGACCTCATCTCCCGGCGGGCGGCCCCGCCGCGGGGACCCTGGGAACGAGGCCGGCTGGCTCGGACCCAAGCCTGCCCCCCCCCGCCCCCCAGAGTGCAGCCTGCGGGGCGCTGTCTTACGCCAAGGCCTTTTCCGTCCCCTCCCTTCGTGCTGCTGCGGTGGCCACAGGGCCCCCCGCTCTGGGCATTGCCTCAGTCTCCCCTCCCGCTATCTTATCTGCCAGGCAGACCTCCCTGGACTGGGAAGCTCAGGGAACAGCCCCGGGGAGGGGAGTAGCCCCAGGCACACTGCCTGCAGCCGCCACCTTGGCGTCCCGGGTTACACATTCACCAGGCTGCAGGCGCGGCCCACAGACCTTTAGCCTCAGGGTGCTCACAGGGAGCAGAGGAAAGGGTGAGACCAGAGGATGGGGAGGACGGACAGACAGACAGACATCTGGGGGTATGGAGATCCTGGAATAGGGAGGAAGACACAGAGCTACAGAGCGAGAGACAGAGACCAGAGAGACGGGCAGAGAGAACGAAGGGACAGACAAGACCCTGTGACTGAGTGACCTCCCTCCCTCTCTCTCTCTGATCCCCGTTCTCTTGGTGTCTACATGGACTAGGCCCGTGGTCAGCAAACTGCGGCTGGAGAGCCACATGCGGCTCTTTGCCCCCTCGAGTGTGGCTCTTCCACAAAACACCACGGCCTGGCCGAGACTATGTTGAAGAAGTGGCGTTAAAAACATGCAGCTCTCCCAAAGAAACCTCCATCGCCGTGCTGTTGATGTCTGGCTCTGTGGATTGAGTTTGCCGACCACTGGGCTAGGCCTTCCCCGGGGCCTGCTCCCCTCGGGACCCCGCCCCCCCCCAGTTACCAGGCCGCACTCCAGAGCCCGGCTCCAGCTGTGGCCCCACGGTCTGGGCCTGGTCTGCTCCCTATGCCCGCCTATCCTAACCCCCACCAGCTTTCCTACCTCCAGTAGCTTCCCCTGCTCCCCAAGTTCCGATCAGCACCCACCTTCCCCTCCCCCCCACAGCACCCCACTTCGGCCCTGGGCTCCTGTCTGGGGCAACACCCTAAGCTGTGGCACAAGTGATCATTAAGTCGCCTCCATGCCCCTCAAGACTGCAGGCTCCTGGAGGGCAGGGGAGGACCTGTGGCATCGCTGACCCCCAGGGGGCACTGGCCTCTGGCGACAGCCAGGGAGGGGCCCAGCGACTCAGAGGCAGGAGTGTGGCCCGAAAGAGGTTTATTGCCCCCCCTCCGAAACCACTCCCCCCACCCAACCCCCAATAATTACAAAAGTAAGAAAAAGGCCCCCGACCCCAATCCCCACCCTCCCCCAGAAAAATGCCATAATTTATTCGGAAAAGTCACAGTCCAAGGCGGCCGGGCCTCAGCCCATCGTCTTCCAGATGGTGAGGGAGGCGGTGAGCACGCCGGCCACGAAGATGGTCACCGTCTGCCACGTGGGGGTCCCGAAGTAGGAGAGGAGGCCGTCCTGGGGACAGGGACAGGGTCACATCTGCGATGCAGCCTCGGCGGGGGGGGGGGGGGGGGGGGGTCAGAGGGCAGGAGGCGGGCAAGGGCCTAAGACTGACAGGTATTCAAGAGCTGGGGCCAGCCGAAGCCGGTGTGGCTCAGTGGATAGAGCGTCGGTCTGCGGACTGAAAGGTCCCAGGTTCGATTCCAGTCAAGGGCATGTACATTGGTTGTGGGCACGTTCCCGATGGGGGGTGTGCAAGAGGCAGCTGGCCGATTTCTCTCATCGATGTTTCTAGCTCTCTCTCTCTCCCTTCCTCACTGTAAAAAATCAATAAAATATATTTAAAAAAAAAAAAAGAGCTGGGGCCAAAGGATTATCACAGAACTTGAGGATCCCAGAAGGGGAGGCACCGGGAGGTCACAGGTCATCAGATCAAAGGGTCAGCAGGTCCCCAAGGAACCAAGGGTTGATCAGATATGTGACAAAATGCATCACAGACCACATCTGATGAGGTGAACATGCAGGCGGCAGGGGGCACCACGTGGTGGGCTGGGGACGGGAGTCCAGGGCGAAGGGGGGTTCGGGGACTCACCCAGCCGCCCTGGTCCTGGATCCAGCCCAGCAGCCGCTCTCGAAGGAAGTCCATGGTCCAGCCCATGATGGTCTTGATCAGCTCGGGCACTTTGGTGCACAGGGCCTGGGGGGGGACGGGCCTCAGGAGCGGGCTTGTCCCTGGCGCCTCCGGAGTGGCCTCCAGCCCCCTTCCCGGCTCTGCCTCCCGGCTCCTGCAGCCCGCAGCCTCCTCCCCCTCGGTCCCAGTGAGCCTCGGACACTGCCGCCTGGACCGGGCCTCCGCCAGCAGCCCTGCCCGCACCTCCGTGGCTCCCGTGCCCGTGGGATGGAGCAGAAGGCAGGGCCCTGTGCAAAGGCAATCCGACCTGTGGCTCCTCTTGTGCGCCCAGTGCCCTTCCCGTCCTCACTCCCACCGAAGCTGCCTGCCCCGAGGACTCTCGCACATGCTGGTACTGGGCCTAAATGGGCCTCCACCAAACCAACGTTCACGCATCCTGCAAAGCTCAGGTCTGAGGCCACCTCCCCAGAGAGGGCTTCTCTGACCTTCAGGCCAGGTGACTCCACACCCTCCACACGTGACCTCCCTCCACTTCCCAGAATGCCCCCTTTCCTCTGTCCGCTGCTTCTCCCCCCCCCACCCCCTCCACCATCACCATCACTGCTGTCCCCCTCACCCCAACATGCAACCCCATAGCCCACCATCCCAAACACAAACACAAGTCTACTTTGCCCAGCTGGCATGACTCAGTGGGTGAGCATCAACCTATGAACCAGGAGGTCACGGTTCGATTCCCGGTCAGGGCACAGGCCCGGGTTGCAGGCTCCATCCCCAGGGTGGGGCATGCAGGAGGCAGCCAATCAGTGATTCTCTCTCATTATTGATGTTTCTATCTCTCTGTCCCTCTCCCTTCTTCTCTAAAATCAATAAAATTATTTTTTTTAAACATCTATTTTCAGCTCTGGCCAGTTTGGCACAATGGAGAGCATCGGCCTGCAGACTGAAGGGTCCCAGGTTTGATTCCAATCTAGGGCACATGCCTGGGTTCAATCCCCAGTAGGGGGCGTGCGGGAGGCAGCTGATCAATGATTCTCTTATCATTCATGTTTCTCTCTCTCCCTCTCCCTTTCTGAAATCAATAAAAAAAAACAAACATATATATATTTCCACACCTTCAGTACTACTACCTGAGTTCAAGTCAATCCTTGTTTGCAGGGACTAATTATTATACGTGCCCCCTCCCCAGCTCCTCAGCTTTTGCCCTTCTGTCCCATAATCCCTTTTCCTACTGGATTGGATGGGCCAGAACAATTTGTTGGGCTTCCCTTCCTCCAGTGTATGTGTGTGTGTGTGTGTGTGTGTGTGTGTGTGTATATA